TCCAGACCCCCATAGGATTATTACTAGTAAGTAATAACCCTTTTCTTGAGATTTTCCCCTTAAATTCTTCATGAGGATTAAAACCACACCTGTTCACAGGCCACAGTGTTCCAGGTACCTAAATCCTCTGCTTTTTGCACGATACCTTAGAGGGATTAAACCACCCCTGATTTATCAGGCCCCTCTGGTTTTATTTATATTAATTTTATTAATATAAATTGGCCACTTTTTGGATTTAATCCATAAATTTCACGTAATTCTTCTGAATTACTTATACCAGTTTTGTCCCTGAGTTTTTACCATAAAAACTCTTAGTTTTTGCACCTTGTGTAGCTAGAAGACACTTGTCTTGGCATCACATAGGCTGACAACTAGATGGGATAAAACTCACAAAGCTCACCAGTTTAAAGTTGGAGACCAAGTCTTGATATCTACATTTAATTTTACAAACCTGACTGGACCTAAAAAATTAAGAGATTCTTTTGTAGTTATACTCACTGGAGAATTAGAAAGAAAAACACCCTACATTTCCAGTCAGTCTAATTAAACCATACAAAACTAGTGATAATGATAAATTTCCTTTAAGAAAAGATAACATCAGAGTTGTAATACCTCCTTTAGAGAAAGAAGAAATTAAAATTAAGAAAATATTACAACATAGAAAAATCAGAAAAAACAATGAGGACATTAAACAATATTTAGTAAGATACAGTGGTACCAAAGAAGATGAATGGCTTACAGTTGATAAAATACCTGATGCTGATAAAATTCTCAGACAATACAGAGCTGATAAAAGAAAATAACATTAATTTATTTCTTGGATCAGCCTTTTTTAGAGGGAGGAAGTGTCAGCCACAGAGTACATGTCACAGTACCTTTCATGTACCAAGTAACTGCAACACCTGTACTTATGTACATAAGTACTTATCCATAATTTTGATTACCTTTACCTCTTGTTATCTTATTATTATCATTAACTTATCTTATCTTATTTACCTTACATTTATCTTATCCGTTAATTACTTATCTATCAAATACATACCTGTGTTCTACATAAGTAATTATCACTTACCTTTCACTCCCTTGTCCGTGAAATACCTGTACCACAAGTTATCCCTCTGCTACAGTATTTTCACGGTCAAATATTATTACAAATAAATATGTACAGGTATTGAATAGTAAGTATTAAGTATCAATAGAATTAATACATTCAATACATGCACTGATCACAATTATGACTACATTATTAGAGGATCTGTTAAGTACACATCCAGAGCAACTAGTACATTGATCAACTAGTACACAATTATGATGTCACTTACAGATCATGACAAATAATGATCAGTCACTCAATGGATGTGCTCATTCTCCTGGCCAAAGCTCCCTTGATTCTGAGCGCTCATTCTTTCCCCCCTTCAGTATTCTGGAACTTATAATCCGTGCCTCTTTCACTGATTAATCCCCAGAATATTCAGACACCAGTTAAACCAGTTAACATTTATATTGATACAGTACACGTAACCAACATAAATCTTGTCTACATTTATTGTTCTTAAGCTTCAGTACTCTTACTCAACTTATCCACAGTATTCATAGCCTTGCTGAATATTCCCATCAACAATACCTGTTAATCTTCAACTAATTTTGTTAAAGCTTAATAAGTATTGTTAGCCCATTCCCTTTTGGGAATAACCAAATCAATCCCAGGTGAGTCTTAGTACCCTGGATGCCTATTAATACCTTGTATTGATCCGGATGCGCTGTTGATAGCAAGCCTCTCAGTAAAGACCATACTGATAGAGTGAAACCTCCTCTTTACAGGACTTGTATTAATCACCCACTACCTAACACTCACCACGCTCAAAAACTTCAGTCAACTCATAGTAACAACCTTTTTACTATTAAATACTCAGGTTAGTTACCCAGAGGCTGACAGATTGTATGCACTGGGTGTGGAAGAACTGCCCAACTGGTTGGGCTGGACAGTTCCAAGGCAAAGAAAAGGTAATTTTTATGTAGACTCTCTAATCTATCTGTGATCCTCTTACTAAAGGCTTGCTTTGTGATGCTTTCCAGAGGCCAACCGTCATTCTCAAAGCTCTAGCATCACAAGATATGTGGATCTGGCATGCCTGGTTCACACAACGACATAAATGTACTCGACACTTCACCTCTCTTCGCAAATCTATTGAATGGTCAGGCACCACAATGTGAATGCACAATCAACGGGCACGACTATCAGCAAGGGTACTATCTTACTGAGGGAATCTATCCAAATTGGGCAAACTTTGTCAAATTGATGTCTCAGCCTCAAGGAGTGGAGCAAAGGCACTTTGTCAAGATGAAAGAGGCCCGACGGAAGGACGTGGAGCGTGCTTTTGGTGTACTTCAAGCCAGATTTGCGGTAGTTTCTCGACCGGCCCAAGGCTGGAAGCATCACAATCTGAATTATATCATGAAGGCATGTATTATCCTCCACAACATGATTGTGGAGGATGAACGGGATTCATACTTGGAATATACATACGACCACGCCCCTGCAGCCATCATTACACCCATAGAAATATTGCACAATGAACCACCATTTTTTTTTCTGATTTTATTGACAATTATCAATCAATGAAAGATTCTAGTACTCATTTTCAGTTGCGCGCCGATCTCATCAAACATCAGTGGGAGATTAAAGGTTGCCAGGAAGACAGTGATGTTGAATCTTAATTGTACACATAATTTATCATCAGTATTTTACTAGCTGTGCTCACATGTTTGTTTCATTCCGATTATAGACTGAAATCCCATATTAAACCTATTGACCTTGAGAGATAACAACAAGATTATGTATTGACTTGAAAAATATTTTGATCCTATGGAGATAAGACCAGGCCACACCGTTTGGAACTAGATCAAAGAGTGGATTCAATGCTCTCTGACACAATCAACTGATTCATTGTTTTTTGTTTCATTATGCAATCAGATTTCTGATTCTTAGCAAAAGAGTTTTATCTTTCAAACAAATAATTGATTAGATTATATCTGAAAGCAATGAGGAGGCAGTTCCAAACAGAAAATTGCATTGTATTGAAAGGGATCGCTTGAACAATTGACATAGATAACAAAAAACACTCTGTTTGTATTGCTGATAACAAAAAACCGTGTATCAATCAAGCGAGAATAAGAAAAAAAAACAATAATATAACTACTGGTTTGAGGTGGAGCTAGATCAAAGAGATTGGAGGATTTGAGCCATCTCTCAATCAATTGACTAACTCCTTCTTTTATCATTATTAGTTATTCTTTCCAGATCTTCTTTTGCTTCTCACTTCTTTCTATATCTAAGTCTATATCACTTAAATCACTGGGGTTTGTTTCTCTTTCTGTTTCCCTTTATCTGCTAAACTTCAATAGACTGATCATCACATTCTTCTATCAGTCTTTTATTCTCTTGTCCATCTCAAAATCATCTGTTGTCTGTCTTGGATAAAATCTATCTGCTACAGGGTTAGTTTCATGCTTTTATTCTTTTCTATTTTGATTTCCTTCTTCTAATCTCTTGTCTCTAGATTCTGGTTCTTTTGTCTTAAGAAATAAACAGTCAAAGTTTTAATATGCAGGCACTTCACTACTAGGGCTTCTGGCTTGTTTTTCCTCTCCCCTCTTATTGTTATTGCAGCAGTATTTGTGCCATTTGGGACTTTTGACGAGGAGGTTGTAGCAGCGGAGATACTTGAAATGTGATTGCTGGTCCTGCAAGTAAAGACGGAGAGCTTGGTTGAGCTGATCTTCTGCAGATGCCCCGCTCTCATTGAGAGATTTGACAAGGTTGAAAAAACCACGAAATTTATTGATTGATGGTTGTAAGTAGTTGCTCCATCTCTTCTTCAAGCTATCAATGGGTTGAATTGGGTCTGGAACTGCTTTGTGATATAACATGAAAACACAAGACCAGAACATGTTGCCATCTTGAGGTGGTGTGGAGTATCACAGAAATGGGCTGTGATAGGCAGATGGAGAGGAACTATTGGAGGAGTATACAATCTTGAGTCTAGGAATTGTGTAGGTCCCTGAGAGGGATTTTCTCATTTTAGGCTGCCCTTAGGGCCTGCGGTGGCGGTGTAGTGTGCCAAATGTGTTTCAAGTACCAAATTGCATCAAGTCATGATCCACTCTTCATAATAGGCTAGATTCTTGGTGTTATTATTACTTCAATAGATTCTACAGGTCATTTAACCCATAGTCACTCACTGGAACCACTAGGCTAGCTCCACTCAGTCAAAAGTTATCTGGATAAATCAGTTTCTTTATTACAGCATAGTATAGTTGTCCTGGGTAGTACATAGTATAGATTTATATATAAGTGCATAGTTGCAATCTTTGTTTGTACAGACATATGTATGATCACATGTTTAGTCACATGCATGATCACATGCTTGGATCACACATATTTTCACATGACATCACCAGCCACACGCTTGGATCACACGTATTTTCACAACAGACCAGCAAAAATGCCTCAACATAGAAAGAACATTCTGCAACACGTGTGATTTTCTGTATGGGGCAGTGCAGATCACATGACACACCAGCAAAAATGGCTCAATCAAAGCTTCCAAGCAGCAAAAATCCCTCAAAGAAGAAGTCACACCAGCATAAATCCCTCACAGGACGTCCTCACTAGCTAAAATACCTCACAATTTACTATATAAGGAGGTCATTTCTCCCTCCTCAGATCAGTTCCTCATGCCAATCCGGCACATCTGACAGCTACACACATCCCACTCAGAGTCTTCAAGTCAAATTAAGGTAAAATCCAACAGTGTGATCTCAATCAGGTGGCCCATCAACATCTTTCATACCTCAGGAAGCATAGAAGAAGTCAAGTAGCAAGTATCACCCCTTGTGCTCTTAACAAGTCAAAGTGATCTTAACCCATTTGTTCTCTTAACTGAAGGTTAAGGAGGAGGGCAAAGACACTTTGAATAGTTCATATTTATCATCAGTTTCCTCTCAATCGTTTCCCATATCAACATTTACTTTACTTCACTCATATAAACATATATATAAAAACATACAAAAATATTTCCCAGCTTTTCAAATCTTTCCATTATCTGATTCCATCCTGCTGTAACCCACACCAAATTCTTTCCACTCAAAATTCCACTAAGTCTCAGCTGATTTCATGTTGATCTAGGTTTGATAAGAGACTGCTACATTCTCCATCATCAGTTTTTGCCACAACAATAAAATAAATTTGTTGTCAGAATTCTAGTGTAGTACATTAGAGGGGCAGGTCTTTCAAACCACCTGTAACAGTTGTAATAGCTTCATACATACCTGAAATATTATCACTGCTATTTCCCCCTCACAGGAATGCCATCCATCCCAAAGGAGTTCTCACAGCGGGGCTTAATCCAGTCTGGGGGCCTAAATTTGGTTTAGTCCCGCATTTTAGGCCCTGCGGTGGAGATGCTCTAAGAATCTCAAGAAAGAAGGGAACATAATCATATACTACTAATGCCCCTTAAGTTATGAGGTTCTGATAGACAGATAATTAAAGCAAGAGACAATACATTACCAGACAGATACAAATTTTAAGCATTTGGGACGGCGGGTGATCTAAAGTGGGTTGTAATAATCTGAGGAATCTGGTTTTGGGTGGACAGAGGGCCCTTTAAATACCCAAGGAGGCATCTGGGAGATCAGGGTCAACTTGTGGGCGCTTCTTGAAGGAAGGCTGAAACATGTGACCATCTTCTTGGAAATGTGCCACAGGTTTTCTGTAGAAGATGAAAGCTGAAACATGTGGCTATTTCCTTGGAAATGTGCCACACATGTGTTATCAATATACAAATGTATGTTTGAAACAGCAAATCAGTTTCAAGTCTTAAACCTGTTTTTTAGCATATTCAATTATAAACATAAGCATATTTCATTTCCTGCTTGGAGGTACACAGGGGTTGATAAGTGCAAGCCAACCCCCCTTGCGCACGCCAATCTGCACGCCAATCTGCAGCAAGTTTGATTGTTGTACATTCGCGTGCAGGTCCTAAACCCATATTAATATGGGTTTAGGACCCAGGCATGGGTCCTATGGGATAGCATAGTGTTTGAAAAAAAACAGCTTGTTGATCCTTGTAGGACACCGGCCGGTGTCCTACAAGGTTGACAAGGCCCACCTTGCTGGCCAGGAGTGAATCCTCCTGGTCACAAGGTTGTACATCCTGGCCGGCGAGGCTGTACCACCTCGTTGACCAGGAGGGAATCCTCCTGGCCGGCGAGGTTGTACAACCTCGTTGACCAGGAGGGAATCCTGGCCGGCGAGGTTGTACAACCTCGTTGACCAGGAGGGAATCCTGGCCGGCGAGGTTGTACAACCTCGTTGACCAGGAGGGAATCCTAGCGGGCGAGGTTGTACAGCCTCGCCAGCCAGCAGGATTGCCTCCTGGTTGGCGAGGTTGTACAACCTCGTCAACCAGGATGTACAACCTTGTGACCACATTGATGAAGTCACTAATCAAGACCAGTTTGATAACAGGATTGACGAAATGTTCCAGGCCCTTCAGCCTGCTCACCCGGAGACCAAACAAATTACAGGCAAGTTTCATGGGTACAAGAGGGACGAGTAGCGCAGCGAATCCATTCAAAGTATTTGACCGATCCAGTAAACTCAAACAGAAGTTGAGAGAGGTTAGGAAGGATGCGGACAAGACTAGGATCACTGATTATCTGCGGGATGAGGTCTCCTTCGGTCTTCTTGTTTGACTGAGAGATATCCGTAGGAAATACAATCAAATCATTGAATTTGGCGCTGGTCCTGGATCTTTGGTCAAGCCTTTACTCGACTTTTATCTCCCTCAAAAAATAATTTTGACCAACAGTTGTTGTCAGTTAATCACATCTCTCTCTCTCTCTCTCTTTCCAAAGTGAGATTACTGTATCCCATGAGTCTTGATGCTTGATTTTTCTCAAATTTACTCGCCGGCCAGGAGGATTCCCTCCTGGCCGGCAAGGTGGGCCTTGTCGACCTTGTAGGACACCGGCCGGTGTCCTACAAGGATCAACAAGCTGTTTTTTTTTTCAAACACTAGGCTATCCCATAGGACCCATGCCTGGGTCCTATGGGATAGCCCTGGTCCTAAACCCATATTAATATGGGTTTAGGACCTGCACGCCAATGTACAACAATAGAACTTGCTGCAGATTGGCATGCAGGCCTGCACGCCAATCTGCCTTGGCGTGTGGGCCTGCACACCAATCTGCAAGTGGTGTGCATATTTTTTTGCGTGAGAGGGGTTGGCTTGCGCTTATCAACCCCCGAGGTACACCCTATATCTTTAACGTAGATTTGCCACATGAAGTAGTTGAAATATAGGGTGCCTTTGAGTGAGGTACCCTAGGTTATTCTTTATATAGATTAAGAATATTGACAAATAATGCACATATTATTTGGTCTTCTCATTTATTTTCAGTACTATTCATATAAAAAAATCTCTGGTGAGCAATAATTTCTTTTTTGTATTTTATATATTATGTTTGTGTACCATGACAGGTTGTCTCAGCTATAGTAGCAAGCTGACAGTTGGTAAATAATATAGAAGATGAATTTATTTATAAGGGTGGTTGAGATGATCTGGTCCACTGGTGGGATGATGAAGGGAACAACTGGCAGGCAGAGGCCTCCTTATATAGACAAATGTGAGGGATTTTAGCACCAGGGTATGGGCTGTGAGATACTACTACAAAGGGATGCATATGAATGAATAAAGGGACACATATGTATGATCAAAGGGATACATACATGCAATATCACTAGTACAAAGGGATTCAATATAAATTAAAGGTATTCAACTTACTACAAAGGAATTCAGTATTCAATATGTATCCTGTATTCATAATAGCTATATATAGTTGGAGCACCATGAAAAATTTGAGGTCAGTACATGTCAGGTGACATGAAGCTAACTCCTGCCTTTATTCCAGTGTTACTTCAAAATCAAAGGGTTGGGACTCCCTGATGACCACAAAGGGCAAATTGTCATTTGAGCAGACAAGCACCAGAGTAACAATGGAATTGTAACATATGTCACTTCATGTCACCTGACACCTACTGCCCTCAGATATTTCCTGGTGGAGTGAAGAATCCAAGAAATATCCCATGACAGGTTGAAATATGTGTAACTTCTAAACTATAAGAGATAAAGGTATGGTTGTAGCGAGTGACTAGGGGTTTTTTACCTGAGGAATCCATTTTTTATGTTATTTTTAACCAAGATTGAATTTATAAAGAGATGATAAGAAATTTTTATATTTTCTGCGTAGAAACACAGTATTATTTACCACAATGCTACACTCAATTGTAGCATTTTTTTTGCTACACTACGCCACACTAATGCTACGATTAGCATAGCTGGCCCACCACTGGGATTAAAGTCTAGCCTCTACTCTAATGGCTTAAGCTTAAGAGATGCTACTAAAATCAGCTCCAGAAAGTAAACAAGATTGGAGTTGATTTCAGGTATACCATATATTGACAATATCCAACAATCAGAAAATCCAAAGAAAAAAGAATCCCAGTTATAGCAGAAGGGGTTTTTCAGGGAAATTGATGAGGGAATGGTAGAATTTTTTTAAGTTTTTGAAGAGACAAGCAAGCAGCTACAAAACTGAATCTCAAGTGAGAAGTTTTTTCATGTTTTTTGAGAGACAATGCTCAAAATAAATGAAAAATCTGAAAATAGGAAACCAAGTAGTCATAAAAACAAAAACACAGATGAGATTGATAGTTATAATAGTGTCCAAATTGATGGCTCAGTGAATTTTTTTATGATATCTGAGAGCTGAGGGGAATTCATAAAAACAAACAAGATGTATTGGGCACAAGATTCAAAGCCAACTATCCGAGTGTTTTTGAGACTATAAAAAGAAACTTAGTACCAAATGATTTTAGGTAGTAGTGGCTGTTACATTAGGGTTCTTTTTTCTCCAGAAGGCAAGTTTTTTCACAATTTCCCTAAATTTTTGTCCCCACAAAGAAAAGAATGACTTGATCCTTTCCATAAGCTTTGCTCTTGGAGGCTTTCCAGGAGCTGCCGCTTGTTGAGTGGGACCTTGACCTGGTTTTTCAGGATTTTGGGGGCCTTTTGGTGCATCATTCTCACCTCCTGTCATCCAAATATATGTTTAATTCTTGAGAAATTTTGAAATGAGAATCCAGAAATTATTTTTACTTACCTCTAGGAAGTTGACTTTCAGGGCCAGAAGCTTGTTGGTGTGGTGTATTCTCAGATTGAGACTGTTCAGATGTTGGACCCTGTTCTTCAGAGCTGTGTGGGCTCTGTTGTTCATGGTTTTCTGTAACTGGTTTTTGAGTGTGTCCTGTAAAAAATTTTGAATCCAAAGATTGAGTAATGTTTTGATATTGATATAAGGAATGTATTTATCTTACTACCATTAGTTTCAGGTCCACTGGATCCAAGATTGCTATTATCTCCTGATGAGTTTTCTGAATTTCCTTTGGGCCTCTGCTGGTTTCCATTTGTATCTTGACCATCAAATTCTTGATTATGTTCATCACCATCTTTGGTGTCTCCTGTAAATGATTTTCAATCCACAGAGTGAGAAATTGGTTACCTGGAGGGAAGGAATGTGTCTAGCTTACTTTCACCAGTTTCAGGGCCACTGGATTCATGCCTTGATGATTCATCTGGACCTCCTTTGGGATTCTGATGATTTCCATTTGGATCTTGGCCATCAACAGCTGGTTCCCTTTCATCCAAATTCACTGTGTGATCTTGAAATGATGACTCCCTACCGTTTCCTTCACCTGTGGAGATAAGGAATTAAGAAAGGTTTTCTATCCTTTGGGAATTTCTTTTAGCTTACTTCCATGGTTTTCAGAGCCAGATCCTCCTCCACTTCTTCCATCACCTTCTAGAATCTGATTATCTTTAGGATTGGTGGTATCAATTACTTCACCTTATTTTTAAAAAACAATAGGAGATTATTTGTGTTTAATACCATTTTTTACATTCTCATTTTTTCTTTCACATTATTCAAGTAAATCATGAAAACTTACGTGAATCTGGAGTCACTGGTTTTTTGTTTTTACCTCTTCCAAATTTTGACCGGAGCCAATCAAACCAACCTTCCTTTAATTTGGGCCCATTTTCAAGTTGATTTTCACCATGTTCCTGAGGAGATGTTTGGGCTTGGAACTCTAAAATAATTGAGAAACTTCAATATTTAGTTGTTTCCAGTTTGAAATGGATCTAAAAAAGCCTACCTTTTCCATCATTGGCATCATGTGCACCATCATGGTGATTTTCCACTTTTTCTGTGTGTTGATTGCTTTGCGGAACATCATTTTTATTCTCTGCTACATGTACTTCCCCATTTGAAACATCTGGATTGACAGAAGATCCAATGTCCTCTGATTGGGTTTCTGTAGAAGAGTGTGGGATGCTTCCACTAGGAATGATTTTGTGATCTTGAGATAATAATCCCACACCACTTTCTTCATCTATAAAAATAACAAAAGTCAGAGAGTTTTCTCTTGAGATAAGGAATATTTTATGCTTACTTCCATGAGTATCAGAGATGAATCCTTCACCATTCTTTACATCAGCTTGTGTATGCTGATCTCCTTTAGGATGATTGATATCGCTTTCCATTACTTCTGACTTGGGTTCTGAACCAGAAACTTTCTCATTGCCAATTACACCTTTCTTCTCATCTTGGGATGATAATCCACCATCATTTTGTGCCTCTGTAAAGATATTAAGTCAGGAAGTTTCCTTTATTATTACAAGGAATAAATATTTTGGCTTACTTTCATGGGGTTCAGAGACCTCTTTACCAGTATTCATTCCATTATGAGTATCAGAGATGAATTCTTCACCATTATTTACATCAGCTTGTGTATGCTGATCTCCTTTAGGATGATTGATTTCACTTTCAATAACCTCTGACTTGGGTTCTGAACCAGTAGCTTGTGCATTGTCAATGCTATTTGTCTTCTCATCTTGTGATGATAATCCCCCATCATTTTGCGCCTCTGTAAAGATATCAAGTCAGGAAGTTTCCTTTATTATTGCATGGAATAAATATTTTGGCTTACTTTCATGGGATGTAGAGACCTCTTTACCAGTATTCATTTTATTTCCTTGTGAAATTTCATTACCTTGAGACTTGATGGTATCTGGTCCCAAATTCATGACTTGACCTTCTGATTTAAAAAAGGGAGTTGTATGTGATTCAATAACATTTTTTACCTTCTTAATTATTTTGATTTTTTCCTTTCTCCTAGTCAAGTTTGATAACTCACTTAAATCTGAAGTTACTGGTTTTTGATTTTTACGTAATGTCAACCATGATGGCCACCAAGAACTGAGCCAGCCTTTCTTTTTTTCTCCATTCCCTGAGCCAAAATCTGAAGAATTTTCTCCCTTATTCATCTCTGCCTCCTCATCTCCACTCTTTCCATCTTGGGCACCTTTTGCTTGAGATCATCAAAAATCAAGCAATTTCAATATGCAATTCATTCAAGTTGGAAATTAAATTCAGAATGCTTACTTGCTGAATGTGGTTGGGTCTCTGAACCTTCAGGATTATCTTCTTTTTTGACTTCTGTTTCATGGGCTCCTGTACCACCAGTTTGATGCATAGGGCCATGATCTTCAACATTATCATGAGCTGAATCTATTTTATAAATCATGGTAAGTGAATTTTCGTTTCAGGACAAGAGAGGTTTCAAGCCTACTTTCACTGTTTTCATGAGGAGCTGTTTGGGTTTGAGTTTCTAAAAAAGAAGCAATTTGAGTATTTGGTTGTTCCCAGTTGAAAATCAACTTCAAAAAGCTTACCTCTGCCACCATTAGGCTCATTTGCATTATCATGGGTATTTTCTGCTATTCCTTCATGTTGATGACCTTGTGGAACAACATCTTGATTCTCTACTGCATCTATTTTGCCATTTGAACCATGTTGATTAGCAGAGGATTTAATGCCCTCTGAATGGGGTTCGGTAGCAGAGTGTAGATTGCTGCCACCAGGAATGATTTCGTGATCTTTAGATGATGGTAGCACACCATTTTGTTCATCTGTAACGATAAAAAAGGTCAGGAAGTCTCGTCTTGAGATAAGGAAGAATTTCTGCTTACTTCCATGAGTTTCCGAGTTAACTCCTTCACCCTTTTTTAAATCAACTTCTTGAGAATCTGCTTGGGTTTGGGATTATGAAAAACCAAAGGAAACCAATCAATACCGATTCTTATATCAAGATCGAAACTTTGAATAGGACAGTTCACGTCTGAACTTTGGAGCAAGTTTTATAGCATTTATCATTGAAATTTTCCAAATTTGTCAAAAATATCAAATTCTTCCAAACCTGATGATTCATGAGATTTGACAAAATTCATAAAATTTTAACCATAAAAGTGCTAAAAGTTGCCTTGAACTCCAGACGTGAACCGGCCTAATAGCTTACCTGAGGTGCGGGGTTCTGTGATTGGAGTGGAACTATGGCCGGATTCACTGATTGAAGTGGTTCCACTGGGCTGAGACAAGGGGTCAAGCGTAGCTGGTGGTGGTTTCGACTCTGGATCTGTATAACAATATCCAATCACAAGTGAGTGATCATATCAAAGTGTGGAACATCAACAATTCATCAATGTTACTTATGAACATTGAATGCTTGCTGTGGTTTCTTTCTTTTTTAGAAACGGAACTTACGGGCGAGTGAATCCAAGCCGAGCTCCCCGTTGACGTTTTCACGAAGTTCGTTGGAAAGAGGCTCCGTACCTTCAAATGACCGACGGTTTTTTCACACATGGGAAGTTAGCTCTTGCTTCAGCATCGCTGCATACTTTAAAACCCCCATTAGAGATGTGGGCCGACAATTGACACTACGTACCTTTCGTGAGTTCCTTTGTAGCACTTACGGCAGATTTCACTTGAGCTGTTTTCACAGGATTTGATGATCAAACAAAGTTCAGCGGTCTCCTCGAATATGGCAATGATCATTCTCTTCGATGCAAGGTACTAACCTGGGTGGTTGATAATCTCAGCAGCTACAAAATAATGAACATAGTCAGTTGTCAAATCTCAAAGTAATATAAACATTCAAATCATGAGACTTACGGGCTTCGATTCCCAATGACCTCCTTCTTAACCAATGGCTGCAGCTAGGACCAACTGCATCTATAACTCCTCTCTTGACCAGAGGTGGGGGAAGTGCCAGTGGGTGCGCTGATACGTTGTAATGTTGTAATAAATAAAACGAGAGTAAAATTTGGGTAAACAACATGACTGTTGTTGGTTCTTATGTGTCAATAAATATTTAAATATGATTAGTTAATTATGATGGCTGGGGATGATTGGAAGAGAAACTGGGGCGGTCAGAAGATTCGAGCTAGATGAGCATTTATAAAGTATCGGGACGGCACAACTGTCTGCCTCTCCTTGGTGAGCGAAAGGTCAAGTCAGGGGCAACGTTATCGTGTCCTCGCTCATGCTCTTTGTCGACGGCGGTAAGCCAAGTTCGTTCTTTCCGTGAGACGCTTGTGCAACTGTCTCGGCGAACGAGCCTTGGAGAAAGCTGTGTTGGCATTTTTCTTAGCCTGGAACAAACCGGCATCGCAATCTAACATTGATTCCTGCCTCGAAGAAACTAAGTTTCAGATAGCTACTACCAACCTCGAGCTTGAAAATTGTCATGGTAATTTGTTTCCGGGCCGTCTAGACTGTCTACCGGGTCCCAAGGGGCCCAACGACAACGTCGGGCTCTAACCTACGCTCACTTCGGCTAACAGTCCCATCAAGAGTGGTCTGGTCCGCGGCGGTATTGCAGACTGGTTTCGACGAAAGTCGAAGGCTATGCCCCACATTGACGTGACGAGTGGTCACCCGACTCATGCCCGGTCGCGCCCCCTGGAGGGCTAAAGCCCGACTGGATTCGTTTCGGTGAACTCGATTGACTTCCCTATGCCCCCCCCCCCCCCTTCGTTACAAAGTTTGGCCAAGAAGGCACTCAATTCTTGCAACTCGCTTTGAGGGTGCCTTTTATCGTTTCATCTTCTGGGGGACACTGCAGGCTCGCAGAAGCTGAGCGATGTGGGAAAAACAGGTAGAAATGATGGTGGTTGCTATCATCCTATCGAATATTGAGATACGTACTGGTACGGCCAAGACATGACGATGACAAAGAATCAAAAGTACATAGCCTAGGCCAAGCTGTTTACCTAGCAGCTCGCGCAATTAACTTTCACCGCCTAAAACTATATGCAGACTGCTAGTTTATTCCATAGCTCACCCTGTCAATCCCACCATGTTTCTACTGTAGGGGAAAATTATGACTGGTTCAGGTGTGGTATTAATTGGGCTGAGCACACTGTCTTTTATGAAGGAATTCACAGTTGATCAATCAAATGATGTAGGTAAGCGTGTTTGTACTGATCCATTGAACAATTTGCAAGAATTGATTTTGCATTTTATTGGTTCTTTTGGCTGATGAGTATACACCAAGAGGTATTATCCGTCCGTAATAAGGGATAGTCTATTGAATGCCTTGTATGAAAATTCGATGGCATTTTTGTATGGTCACATGGGAAAATGGCGCCCCAAAATGTCTGACCGCAAGGGTTTGTGAGGGGAGTTGATCAAGGAATTGCAGCGAAATATACAGCATTATTAAATCTTTCATGTGTTTGAATTACAAGAACCGCATAGGCTAGGAACAAGTGTCTAGAGATGGAAAGATGATGAAATGACTACAGGTCTTTTCTTTGCCTTGGTGAATTTTTGACTCCCAAAGGGATAAGATAAGTGAGGTTGGATTACTGTTTGGAAAATGTGATTCAAATTTTTTGTTTGCCAACAAGCTTGTAATCATCCGGAGAGTCTTTAGCAACCCCTAACTACTAGCATCCTCACATTCCACAAATGGGATGTTTGAATATGCAACAACCGTTTTGGGGAATAATGTAAAAGTTATTGGTTGGACCCAGAGGCACATATACAAAAGTGAAACTCAAACTGTTCATACAAGACATTGAGGGTGTCTTTGTTGGTGTTTTATGGCAAGTTCTGGATGAATAAGATTCTGTTGGGTGGTTGATATCCCTCTGTCATTTGGATGATTTTCCTATTTGAGGTGGAAGCGGGCAAAGTGATGGTGATGGGGGCAGTGGCGCCACAAGTTGAGGAAACTGCCTTGGCCGCTTCTACAAAGAGAAGAACTTGGAAATAAATATTTACAGTGGGTAGACAGTGAAAAGTGGCTGCTTATATTGGATACCAGAGCTCCAAAACACAGAATTGAATTCATGAGACATGGTCAGGTGGTGCATAATAGGTCCCAAAAAATGAATATGAAAAAATAAAAACAAAAAATAAGGTTTCAAAATTTGTGATAAAAAAGGGCCTTAATAAAAAAACCCAGTTTTTCCGCGTTTTGAGCACACGCGGATTCCGTGTTTAGACGCGGTTTTGTAATTATTTTTTTTTAAGTTTTTTTGATTTTTTAAAAATTTTTCCTAGGTTTCCAAGCGTGTAGAATTTAATGGTAAAAACAATTTTCCATAAAAATGAATTTTAATTATTAATTTTTTTTTCCACTCATTTTTTCCATTAATTGTATGCATACATGTTTTTACCTTATTTTTTATGCTTTTTTGAAATTATAAATTTATTTCCTAGGTTTCAATATGTTTAGAGTTCAATGGTGTGAACCAAGTTTTTCAAAACTCAACGGTTCATTTTTAATACTGAAATTTGACATTTTTTTTCACTTGAATTTCTACAGCTTAATTTTCATTATTTTTTGACATTTTAATTTTTTTTACTACACTTTGAGACATGTAAAAAATCAGTTGATACAAAGTTCACTCAACCTAAAATTCCTCAACTTTCCCCAAATGATCTTATCTTGAGTTGAATTGTGACACACATCAAAATCCCTCATTGTATTTTCTTACCCGGCAAATGTCAATGAGCTCATAAAAATCTCAATGTCAAGAGACTCTTACCAATTCAGTAACAAAGATTCTTGGCCATAGCCTCAATCCAACAAACAATGTTCAATTTTGAGAGATAAGTCATTGAAGAATGATGCCTGATAAGTGAAGAAATGGGAATTTCTAGAAAAAGGAAACACAATAAAACCCAGATGAAACCACAAGTGAGTTGAAAATGAAAAATGAATTCAATCAATTTCTTAGCAGTAGCTAATATGCAGTGATTCCCAAGATCTTATATTGGCTATATCAAAGATGAATCTTTGATGAAAAAAAAAACCAAAACAACCATGAAAATGTTGAAGTTTGTTTTGAAAGTTTGTTTTGAAATTAATTGGCTTTGGAAAGATCTTATTCCAATAGTTCATGAATCAAGGATTTTTTTGGCTTTGTTGAGGAGCCCTTGGAATTCTTAACAGATTTTTTCAATCCTTTGATTCTCTGCCTACTGGAATCAATTTGTGGATCAACTATTTCCATATCTGTATCTTTGTTTGCTCTCATTTTTTCCAAAGCTTCCCTGGAGATGGGTATGTGTGTTCCAATTTTTTTCATGCTTGATTTCAATTTGTCTGTGCCCCTGGAATTTGAAAAATAATCTGCTGCTATTTTGAAATCAGAATGAGTAATCTGCTGCTATTTTGAAATCAGAATGATCTTGGTGCAAGTTCCATCATTGAGAGTTTATTATTTCAAAGACTTACATTTTGTATATTTGTCAACCCTTTCATCACATTCTTGAAAATAGTAACATAAGTCAGCAATAAAGTGGATCAAGAGTTCCACATTAAAATATATAATTGTTTGATTTGTAAAGACCAAATTTCCAAATCTTTCAGATTAAATGTTCATCAATGAACAGGGAAATTATTGGAAATCAGATCAACCAACCTAGCCCCACATGATTAACATCTTCTAGCTCATTGTCATCTGAGCTGCCAACATGCATTTTGTTACCTCCTGTAAAATGAATTATGAAGCATAAATTTATCAATCAGTTTGGAAAAGATTACAGAGTGATTCTCAATTTAATTACCATTTGGTTGGTGTTGAAATATATGTTCATCAATTGATCTATGTGAATTTTCTGAATCTGAAGATGAATCTTTCATATTTAAAAAAGACCATCTTAGTAAAATAAAATGCTGCCTTCAAATGTAAGGATTATATAATAACCTGATTTATCATGATTCCCATCCGCTGTTTTTTTTTGATGGATTTGATAAAACATCAATGATTTAGTCTATTCAATGTAAGCCATTTTTTTACAAATTATCAAAAGGAAACTTACATGAAAGCTCTCTTGAATTGTGATTATATGTTTCTAGGTCTGAGAAAACATGAATCATTTCTTCCTGTGGAACTTGGGCAACTTTGTCTATTCAAATGAAGTGGCCGGAAAATTAGTGCTCAGTGTAGGAAATATCAAATTTCAATTCATAATGGTCACCATCTTCCTTTTCCACATGGTGTGAATTTTCATTCATGAGTGAATCAATCCAATCCCCAATTGGAGAGGATGAAATTGAAATTTCATGTGCTGGAGCTGCTTGATCTCCTAAGGTGTAAACTGGAAGTTTTCTAAATTCATCTTTTTTATCTAAAATAAAAAAATACCACTTCAATACCTATTCTTTGTTGTGGGAAACTAAGATCATGTAATGCATCTATCATTGTGCTTTTTTCATGAGGAAAACATTATTGTGAAATGATTGATAAGAGGAATCTGTTCAATGGTTTACCTGGTATTTCACCATTCATTATTTCCCAAAGTTTGTTTTCTTCACTCATTTTCAAAAAAATTTGTTAATTGTCATTTTAAATATGAATGGGTAGCCCAGATCTTGTTCAAGTGACTTACTTTCCCAGTATTTTGCAATTTCATTCCAATGTGGATTTTTATACCCATTTTTAATTTTTATTTCTTTTCTTTCTGTGAGTTTGATGGGTTGGTTTTTTGCATTCAAATAATTTTTACATTTAAAATTGTGTAGAGGCATACTTTTTTTGCAGGAATCTGTTAAAACTGAACACCACTTACTACTTGTTTTTGTATCAACAGACACAGATTCCCCTTGGGTTTCAACTGAGCTTGTATATTTACATTTCAATTTATTGAAAGATCAGATATGTTCTTGTGCATGATCAATGTTAAAAAAATCTAACATGGCACCAACCTTTCTTCATGCCTTGTCCAGCACACATAAGATGATAATTTTTAATGCAGATGTCCAAACAAAATGTGAAATGTCGTCACAATATGCCTGCTTTAATGAAAAACATACCCCTATAAAAAGATTCCATTGGGGCTCTCCTTCTAAGCCAATGTGATCCTGAGCTTGTAACAAAATCTAAAGCTTCTCCTTTTCCCAAATTTGACGAAGTTAAAACGGGAGCCTCTGAAGAGCTGCAGTAATGCAACAGCTGATAAACAAGTAAGATGGCTATAAACATGTTTTTATTCTTATAATTTTAGAGTTGAAGTGGTCAAAATAGTCAAACAAAGCCACAATTTATAAGCTAATCCTTTGTTCCTTTCTATGGGAGAATTGTAGAAACACAGGAAATATTTTCAGGCTTGGGTGTTCATGGGAAATTTGAATTTCAAATTATGTACACTGAATGTGTAGTTATATAAGGTCCACCAGAAAATTGTGCGGTTGTTGCGGTACAAAGTGAAACATTTTGATATGTAATCTTATCCTGAAACAAAAATAAAAGTACACTTTTTTTGGCTCTTGTTTCATACATCTTTTTCAAGTTTATTTATGTCAATTTTTCCAAATATATGCTTTCCCTGAGACAACATTTGAAATTCAGTTCAACACATAAGCCCTGCATAATTTACAAGTTCTTTATCATGTCAATCAGACTGATTTGCAGATGTTTCTGTACTTGGAAGTGGTTCGCATTGGCACAGGGAATGGTGTTAAATTTGAGAATTTGTATGCTCAGTGCTGGCTAGCTTTACATATTAAGACAGTTGATTGATTTGAATATGAGCAGTCCATATTACAGTTGTACCTTCTGAACTGCTCTCAATTTTGTCTGATAATGGAGGCAAAGGTACCAGGTGCCTTGAGCTGTATTGTAAAGATATGAAACTCCACTTCAGGTAATTGAATTACATCCTTGAGACAAATGGTAAATTTTTCTGCCCCATCTGGACCAGCCATGTGTATCTATAAAACAGCAGTCAATGAATCCATTGGCTATGAAATCCCAATACCTTGGAGAAATGCTGAAACAGATACACTACACTGTATGTATCATGGAGAATTCTACAAAACTACATGGCCAAAAACCAAATTTTTTGCATCTCCTTGCAAATAAAAGCACATTGGTCAGATATTTTTTATTGGAGTTCAGATACATAGTGATACATGGCAGATACATGGCAGATACTATATCTGTTTCAGTGTTGCTTGGAGCAGAATATGGCTCTTTGATATTTTACTCCTAGGCAATGGTGATAGGCCTGCACTACAAAAAGGGCCTGTTTCAGTGCAGAACATTGGGTACCCAATACATAACCATCCCAAAAAGCTGTATCAAACATGCATATTTTCCTTAAAGGAAACAGGGAAAGCACAGTGAGAACCACTGTGATCTTTCTTGAAAATAGTGCAGTGCAGCCCAAAAAGGCTTTCTTACTGCTAGAGTTGATCCCCCTATTTCTTGCCACTACAAAATTGATGATCCTTACAAGGTGCTAAAGGGTACTAACCAAAACCTAGTCACCACTAACCAAAACCTAGTCACCACTAACCAAAACCTAGTCACCACTAACCACCTTTTTACTACCCTTCTCCTTCATTGGCTGTGTACCATTTCACTGTACCCTTTGACATATCAATCAATTTGGAGTTCTATATCTCCTAACCACATGTACATGTAATGATTGTGAAATCCAACTCTTGAAATCCTTCCAAAGAATACTGAGTCCACTTTTTCAGGATTTTCAAGTTTTGGACCCAGCCAGAACCAACTCAAACCAGAATCACCAACTTGGATACATCACTGATGTGTCATTGGAGTTGTATGGTTGGATTCATTTACCTTCTTTAATCTTCCCACTCATTGTGTCAGGATCACCAATAAGTAAGTCATTCCTCAATTTTGGCTTGCATCTTTCTACTAATTTCTTCCTCATTCTCCTTGAATGATCACTTCATTCTGTTTCTACTAAACCTCTGCCTTAATCATTATCAAAACAAATTAAGTCATTCTTGTCTTCTCTGTTTGGTGGTATAACTGAAAACCACATTGGTTTCCCTTTAAAGACCCTTGATATTAATATCTAAAACATTAAGTTTGGATTGAAATATCAATACCAATTGCCCTTCTCAGTCTCTTTTTGGTAAGGAGGCTTAAATTTATTCCAACCAAAACAGCCATATTTTAAGGAAAAAAGACTGTCATAAACCTTGATTATAAAAATAAACAAACAATAAAAAAAATATTCTTCATTTTTTTCTCTTTCTCTCACCCTTTCTTTTAGTCTAGTTTTATTTCTTTATTCCCTTTAAATACATCTAGAATTGCCCCCCAAACCTTGTGTCCTGCTGTCACTTTTGAGACCCAGGCTCATGGGTATGTATGAATATGTACACCCCCTGGGTCAGGGTCAAAGGTGACTTATAGGATTGCCAAACACTTATTGATGGGGCACATAATAAACTCAAATTTGAAAGGAATATAGTTCATTCAAGAATAATTTGAGCCCTTGTACATTGCAAAAAAACTATTCCCAGGATTCATTTGTTCTGTGGATTCCACAAAGTGAGTCCCTAAAAATGAAATGAGACTGATAGATATAGAATAATTTATCAGAGTACTTTCTATTTGAATTAGGCAGAAAAAGAATTTAAGTTGTGAAAAAGCATTCTCATCAGGGTGTTTTATTCTAATCAGAAAAAGAATTTAAGTTGTGAAAAAGCATTCTCATCAGGGTGTTTTATTCTAATCAGAAATTATTGGTGTTTTTTAAAAAATAAATAGCAGAATTCAATTGGATAGGTGGGTGTGAATATGACTCATGAGTTTGAAGACTAATTATATGAAGGATCCTAGCAAAGTGCTGGGTAGTTGAATTCTTTCATGAAACCTTGTATAATATTTATGTGGAAATGCACACAGCACTGAAATGAAATTCCGGCCAATTGACTTTCTCTAAGAACACCTTAGTTGGGCCATTAGATAAATGAAAGTCTTAATATCATCCTACATTTATTCCCAATTGATTCAAATTCTATGAATATATCTCAATGCAGCAGCATAGCCCCCTGTAAACCCCTGTCGATGATTATTTGTTTCTATTCTCCTAAGAAAATCTTCAACCACACAATTCTCTGTTTGTCTCAGGAAGATTTTAGAATTATCAATTCAATCACTTGTCTTTCAATAATTAAAAGAAAGATGAAAGATAAACTGACCTGATTGGACACTGATACCCTTTAAAGGATCAAGATTTTTTATTGTTTTATTTTCTGTTTGATGGTAATACTAATATATGAGCTGAAAAATATCACCAGTGATGTAATGAAAATTTACCAACCTTGTTTTTGAAATCTATTCATTTCTAGATTTCTTGATTCCACTATCAAAGATTTATTACAAGTCAAGCTTTGCAGACTGCTATCAAACCCTTAACTATTGAAGTGGAACTTACAGGATGAAATCTCTGCCTGTATTATCATTTTATTCCCACTATTGGTTCTTGAGTCTTTGTTAGTTACTGAATTGTTATAAAATCAGCCAAAAAAAATCATCAATAAGATTAATGGTGAGGGGGGGATAAATAGCCCTTACATTCATTCTTCCCCATTGTATCTCCAACTGAAACGATCTCTGTCATCCCCCCACCCCCCAAAAGAAATATTACAGCTAATTTGTTATTGTTTTCTCAGTAACATGAGTAGCATTTTTTGACTTACTTGCTCCCTTTGCTTTGCCTTCTTAATTATTCTCAAATTTTCATTTCAAGAAACCCAAGATTTAGCTTACAAAGGATAGACTATGTATAAGATTAATATTTTATAGATAAAATTTCCTCACCCTGTTTAGAAGTTTGACTAGAATCTGAGTTGAGTTGAGCCAAAATTAGGGGATCATCATCAGAAATAATTGGTAACCTGATATATTGAATTCTAACTTACTTGTGAATTCATGTAAATCAGTCAACCCTTCTGCTTGAACTGAGTTTTCAAGGTTCTTATTTTCTTTTCCTGAGTTTTTGATTCAGATTTGGAATCAAATAATTTTCAGTTGAAAAATAAGTACTGGAAACATTTTGTCAATCACAAGAGAATTTTTTTTGAATAATTCACACTTACCAAATGGTGCTTGGACTTGGAGTTTAATACTGTTTGATGCTCCCCTGGTTGCTGGATTTGAAAGATTTGGGGGGTAATAATAATCAACAATCTGCTTTGGAATTAAAAATCAATACATTATGATTCAAATTTCACAACATAATACTAACACTCTTTTCTACTCTTTTGAGTAACTAAAAAACAATCATTATTGATTATCAGCTGTTGAGATGATCAACATATTTCCAATGCTTGATTGGAATGGATGGATTGACATCAAGGCACATACAATTCTCAACTTCCTTTAGAGCCCCACTTTTTACGCTGTGGCTCTGGGAAACACCTGCCTCTAAGCATTCTCTTTTGACCAGATTTTTTGAAAGAGAAATTGGATGTGCTGAGACATCAAACTTGAGGTAATGTAAGATCTGAAAAACTAAAGATATGTGTAATATTAACATGGCTATTAGAATTCTGTTCTACCAATCTGTAATTGGAATGATAGCGGGTGATGGTAATGATGGGGGAATTGGAGTCGCCAAAATAGACAGTACAGAGAGTCATTTATAACCTAACACATTGCACCTTCTGATAAGTGATAAAATATATGTGCCATTGTTGTTACTATTCGTCAAAGTGTGTATAATTTTCCTCTCCCTTGTCTGCTGTCTCAACAAACCTGAAACTTGCGGGGATCAGTAGTTTTATCACAGGCTCAATCGTACAGACAGTGCAAGTCCGTCGGATTTACTCATTGTTGTGAATCTTGATCATTTTAAAGCGCCAGCTTTATCTTGATTCCTCTCCACGAAACGCTTTAGTTTGACAGAAATTTTTATCTCTACTTATACTCTGACATGTCTAGGAGCAAATAGTGAACTGCGCCCTATGAGTATGTTGGTGCTGCTCTCGATTGCCTCATGTCATGAATCTGTTTGTTTGACGATGGTAAATCTAGGCTCTACCCGGCAGTAGCTTTTCTAAATGCCAACAGATTCAGAAAGTCGCATCACAATGACCCACGTATGTCAGTGACCGGGTTCCCTTCGCAACCTAGACTATTGTGTGAAGGTGAGGGACAGTTTCACCGTATCATAATCAGATGGCCCGTGCTTTGGTTTGGTTTAATTGGTGCCGGCTGTCAGTGTCAAGCCATAAAAACACAAATGCATGATGATTCTGTGAAAGGAGCATCATTACCTGCCGCAGACAGGGAAAGGACCGAGCCGAGAGGTGCATCATATTACCGCAACCGGAGGTCTCTACTCCCTAATAGGGCAGTTCACGTTCCAGCCAAACCGCTGCTGATGCAGCTTAAGGTTTGCTTGCTGATGCACAAACCTGATGAACTTTAAATGTGGGATTTTGAATCCACAGGGGGACCTTGCACTAAACTATCTTGGTTTCCCATAAACCTTAAAACTACCATTCCAGCAAAGTTCGACTGCTGATTTCGAAATCAGCAGTACGTGAACCCCCTTAATGTAAGAGTTCGCTCCACTTATAACAGATCTTACGGGCTCGGCGAACCGGTTGAATCGCCAATCACGATCTGCAAAAGCCAATTCAAACACACAAGAAAAAGAGGTTAAAAACCGAAATCTTCAGAATGATTGTTAACCAAGCATCTAATCAGTGGGGCAGAGTTCTGGCGATCTGATCTGCATCAACGTACACACCCCTTTTGAAAAAGATGAAGCCCAAGGAACCCCTCAACAGGGTGGGGGCAGTGGGACATGCTCTGTTTGGGGTGGAAACCACAATGAACACCCCAATGTAGGGCGCGTCTGATGCAGAGTCAAGTCCACCTGTTGGGATATGAATCCCGTATGTTAGTCATTGTATGCTTGTACATAGAATATGCTTCTACCAAGCACACCATCTCTACGTTGTTACCGGTCACTCCATTTTACACTTCAATCTTCCTAAGGTACTCTAGTCAGGGATACGCCGCAGCATATCCCTTAGGTTAGCTGTGAATTCAAAATCCTCCAGCTATCCGAGTTTGGGTGGTTAATAGAATTTTAATCAATGATTTTTAACTTAACAAATTATTCAAAAAGATTAATAATCCTATGGACCAAAGGAAGATATTATTTTTCTTTTCTTTCTTCTGAACTGTTTTCTAAATTTGTAAACAAAAATGTTTTTTATTTCCAAAAAAGGAGATAGGTTTGGAGCAAGAAAGCCTATCCCAAGAAGGGTGGCTGGGAGGTCAAAGAAAAATTCTCAGGGATTTTGAAGGATAATGCTGAAGAGTTGAGTGATGGAGTGAGGAGCAAAGTGGGGAATGAAGATGGGGGATTAAATCTTCATTGTATCCTTCTTGATTGCATGTTCTGATTCATTGTATTTCTGGACCAGGCCAGAATACTGTTAACTCAACAGCTTCAGATCAGTCCGTGCACATGGAAAACAGCACCTTCCCAATAGCTTGGTTCAGGTGCTACATATCACTCATCAGACCCTCCTCTCCTCACTGAATACAAGATCCTATTTCTCACTCGTCTTGTCCCACTGTGATTCTTGACCGCTCCCTCAGTTTCAGTCACCCTGGTTCCCCTCAACACCACCAACCAGAAGCGCTTCCTCCTGGTATGGAAGGTCCCACCCAGCCTTATTGATTGGGAGGTTTTCCTCCTGATATTTTATTCTTGATTATCATTTATTTCTATCTGTATTGCTATTCAATTTTATCTGTGCTGCTATTTGATTATATTCTTGGTTGTTGGGGTAGGGAATTGGTAATCCAGAAAGGATGAAAAAGGACAACAGTTCTGTAAGAACCACATTGGCTTTTCACTGATGTTGTAAAATGGTGATACAATTCAACAGACTCAATAGTCTTAGGGAGAGAATTTATAGAACCAAATGTTGTTCCATAAATTTCTTATGAGCTAGCTCAGTAAAGATAAATGTCAGTTCTCTGCTTACAATTGAGGAAGAGAGAATACAAGTAAGAAATGAAAGAAGGAAAATACAAAGAGAAGATAATTAAGAAACAAAGAGAAATAAAGAAGAGAAATGAAAAGGAAGTGTTCTGGCTTACCTATCTCAGTAAAGATGAAGGTCAGTTCTATACTGAGCAAGGTTGGGGGGGGGGGCAATGAGTTCACATACTGGTTTGAGAAAAGGTGATTATGTAATGTGTGTGATTATTGTTTGAAACTTGCCAGGTGGAGTTGCAGGGTTCACAAGTTCACATCTAGAATTTTAGCCACAGCTGTGTGAAGCATTCAGCTGTAGCCTGTGCACAGTTGTCTGCAAACATCAATTGATCCACTCAGCCTGAGGGGAAACAGTGCTCATGCCGGGGGGGGGGGGGTCAAACATCATAAAGACAGCATTTTTGGAATCTACAGACAATTCAGATTCCCAATTTAAGCAACAACATATTCATTTATTTTTTTTGCACATGGGCCATCAGACCTGTTGCCAAAAACATCCATAAACATGAGGCAAGATGAAACCTCCAACCCATAAGTATGGCATACAAACCCATGTTGGGTTTCACAGGTGTTTCACTCTTCTTCTTTCTGCTTCCTACCTTTTCTCCTCTTTTCACTCATGTCACACATCTGTGACACCCATGTATGTAGTCACTCTAGGTCAGCAGACTGATTGTGGAAGTTCTTCTTTCCTCATCCTTCCACGATCTCTCTTCCTGGCCTAGGTGAGTCTAGCTTGTTTCTCTAGTCATTTTCTCTTTCTCTCTTTTTCTTCTATGCAATGAACCTGATCCTTCCACGATCTCTCTTCCTGGCCTAGGTTCATTGCAACAACCCATACCCATGGGATTACACCATGAAAATGCACACTTGGGGGTCCAATACCCAAAACATTTTTTTGAAAAAAAAACTAAGTTTCTGGCCTCAATCATTTGGCCCCCCTCCCCCTAGAGTTGTGTGGAATGCTGCACACATAGAGATAGTCATTCTGGACCCTGTTACCAAGCGGTACCCGGGTACCCCCCAAAATTTTGGGCAAAATCAGGTACCTAGTACCGCACCTGGCACCTCCTGGGTGGTGCCACGGGTACCTCTGGCAGGTACTGTCAGCTCTGTGTATGCTACACTGGTTTAAATAATATAAAAACCAGGTGCTATCACTGTGCTGAAGGACTATCAAAGAAAAAGATTACTCTTTTTCACCCTTTATATGTGGTCCAAATTCCACAAAGGTTAAGTCCACACTCCTTTAAGCTTATTTGTTTCTAATGAACCAAATAACAGGAGAGTATAACAATTAATAAATTGTTATAGTTTGGATTTTAAAGCAATAATAATTGCTAAGAAGCAGCTGGCAAGCACTTGAGCTGATTGGCTACTTGTCAGAGGTGGTAGTCTTGCAGCAACTGCTTTATAAGGAATTTTAGTGAGGGATGAAAGGGGAGTTTCAAAGTTACACACTAATAATTCCAGTAGTAAAAGGAAGATTGGGATTGGGATGACTACTCTAAAAGTAGGAGGAGAATATTCACTGTACTTACTAAGTATGTTGTGGGTGAATATGCTGAGGAACCAATCTTAGGCCAGGAATGGCCTCCTTTTATATTCTAGAGTCCCCCTTGGGGGCATTCTTAGAATATTCTAGAATGTTTATTTAATGTACTACAATAGTAGTTCTCTCATGATGTAATGAGAATATTGTAGTAGATTAAATACAGTATTATCTATGTCCCCATGACATCATGATGCATTGTTATAGCCAATTACATCATGTGTCTACTTATAATAGAATAATACTGATGGAAATTACCACACACTTAACAAAGGTGGTAATTTCTACACTTTGGGTTATAGTTTCAATTTATGGTTGTAACTATAAATTTAATATTTGTTTTTATCTTTATTTTATAATCTTTTTAAGGTGTTTTATACTTTTATTCCTACTAACCTCTGAGGCTCTTGAGTTATGACAAAGTCCTAGAAGGAGTAGGAATTTGGGGATGGTTCCAGTGAGCAACCCCCTCTGAAATATTATGAAAAGTTCATTTATACAATAATATTCTAAGTTTTCTTATTATTATTACAAGTAATATATTATTAAGCAGTCTTTTGGATACTCTTGAGGATCTCTAAGGCTGACAGGTACCACAGGTACCACCTTGACTCTTGGTTTGCTTGCAGGTGTGACTCTCGGGAGCCATGGTTGTCAACTGTTGTGATCAGTTGAGTGCTGTGGGCAGCTCAAGGGGACCAGGACAATATTCATCAGGGATATTGATATATACATATCATTTACATGTCACATTCTACCTTCCCGCAGGCCCTGAATCTCCCTGGGGGGTGAGTGGTACCAGGGTACCGCACCGCTTTCTGGCCAAATTCAAGTACCTAGTACCGCACCCAGCACCTCTGCGCGGGTGCAAGACGGGTGTGAGGGGTACCTGCCAAGCGGTATTAGGTACCTGCCGCGGTTACCGAATGACTATCTCTATGCACGCAACTGTAGTTTTCTTGTTGGTCACCAGGTTTATAATATCAAAACAATCAGTAAAATTTATGAAAACATTTAGCCACACTGGCACCGCATCAGCTGTCAGCCTCTGTGTAACTAACCTGAGTTATTTATTGAGAAAGGTTTTTACTATGAGTTTACTGGTGTATTTTGAGTGTGGTGAGTGGTAATACCTGTCATGTAATGAGGAGGTTTCACTCTATCAGTATGGTCTTTACTGAGAGGCTTGCTATCAACAGCACATCCGGATCAATACTAGATTAATAGGCATCCAGGGTACTAGGACTCACCTGGGATTAGTTGGTTCCCAAAAGGGAAACGGCTAAAAATACTTATTAAGCTTTAAAAAATTAGTTGAAGATTAATAGGTATTGTTGATGGAATATTCAGCAAGGCTATGAATACTGTAGATAAGTTGAGTTGTTGGCTGAAGCTTAAGAACAATAAATATAGTCTAGATTTATGTTGGTTATGTGTAATGTATCAATATAGATGTTAACTGGTTTGACCAATGCTGGGCCAGCTACGTTAACCGTGGCAGTTAGCGCAACGTAACGTAGCGGCAGTCCACTTAACTTTAGTTTAGGATAGCATAGCGGAATTCCGCCACGTCCACACTAAAACTATGTGTGCAGGCCCTTAGAAAGCTCCCACTATGCTGCAATAATGTGCTGGTTAGCGGCATTTTGGCCCTGTAGCAGCCCATAGCGCAGCGTAGTGTAGCAAAAAGCCGCTAACTTTTTGCTAACACTACACGATTTTGGTGTGTAAAAAAACAGCTATGCTAATGCTTTATGGTCAAAAATCATAGCATCCCAGTGCTGGTTTAACTGGTGTCTGAATATTCTGGGGATTAATCAGTGAAGTTGGCACAGATTATATGTTCCAGAATATCGAAGGAGGGAAAGAATGAGCACCCAGAACCCAGGGATCTTTGGCCAGGGGAGTGAGCACATTAATTGAGTGAGTGATCATTATTTGTCATGATCAGTAAGATTCTTGTAGGCTGGAAGGAAACCCTTCGGGTTGACGAGGTACATGATCCTTGCTGACTGGAAGGGTTTCCTTCTGGTTGATGAGGTACATGTACCTTGCCGGCTGGAAGTTTTCCTTCCACCTGTTGAGCATGTACCTTGCTGGCTGGAAGGAAACCCTTCCAGCCAGCCATCTCCCCTTCTGGCCTTGGGTATCCTTTGGGATACCCGGATACCTGCCAGTGTTTTGTGGAAAAGGGGCCATCTGCACCCAAATCCGCACCTGCTGGCGGGTATCTGCTGGCAATGGCAGGTATCCGCCAGCGGATAGTGGGTATCCGCAACGGATACCCATCGACCATCTCTAATGCAATCTGATGCCCTGATGATGTGATCAAGGATGGGTAAGCTTTGGATAAGTTTATATAGCTTATTCCTCATTGATTTTACGCTTCTACTAGCAATGGTGCAACAGATACAAGACATGTATTTGTATCAGATCATATTGTCTTCATTTTGAGCCTGATACCGGTATCAGTATTTTCTTGGTTGGTGAGAAAATCCATTGTCTTGGATTTGGATTTACAAATGAAAAAAAGAAAACAAAACGTCTTTGTTTTTTTTTCTTCAATACGGCCAAATATCTTGTGCATCAAATACTTTTTTGGTGGGATCAGTCATCTGAGGCAATACAGAATACTTGTCTCACTTTCCAAAGACAATATGTGTGTATTGTCTCAGGAGAGTGAGACAACACAAATCCGGTATTTTTGGGTATTCAAATTCTGAGACAATACAAATAAAAGCCTGATACCGTCTCGTATTGTCTCTGTTGCTACTACTACTAGCTGTTTCTTATACATATATACTTAGCTCATGGATTATAAAATATGTACATATTGTATATGAATAAATATTATTTTAATTCTTTATTCTGATGATATTTCTGTGAAATCCTATTGATATTATCATTGCAATACTCAAGGGGATTTCACAGTTAATTATTGAATTAATATATATATAAATTATAAATTAAGATTAAATGTAAACACATATTTATTTATTTATTATTTTAACAACAATGTAAAATATTATTTTGTATTCCATTAATTATTATTCTTTGCAGTTACTGGCTACATTTCACGTACTGTGAAAGCTGCTATGTGGCTGGTACATTTCAACACCCCACATCATTAGGAGAGTGCAACTGAACACATGAAGGACCATTCAGAAACCATATCTTTTCTCTTGAGTCAGTCAGGCCAACACCTTGTCAACTTGTAGTGGCTGATCAGTTGTCTTGGGGAAATCCTACTGGCCATCAACCATGATACACGAGCTGACTTGTGTAGCACTTGAATATATATGTATATGTAGATGATCATTATGGTATCTAAGAAATCAATATCTATCTTTACAAACAAAGCAAGCACACATAAAAAACAACAAGAAACACAAAAACTAAAAAAATGATTCTTCTCCCATAAGAACAACAAACAAAAAGGGGAAAGTTTTTTTTTGTACAGCCATGGGAAAAAGAAAAGACATGGAAAAGGCCCATAAAGAGAAGACATTAAGAGAGAGAGGGGAAGGGGGAGGGGAAAGAATGTGATGGTGAAAGGAGGACGAAGCGAGGAGCTTGAAAGAAAGAAAGTAATTGGACTGGGAGCCCCCCCAAAAAATGAAAATCAAACGAGAGCAAGTGGGAAAGTATGTGTATGTGTTGATGACTTGAAGTGATTGGATCAAAGAATGAGTTCTGTAGAGAGGGTGATGTAACGATTGGATGGATGATGGAGATAATTGTAAAGAAGACTTGAAAAAAAAACGATGATAAGGTGATGGATGTGTTGAATTATATAACATCAAAATAAGGACGGATCAAAAAGATAATAATAATAGTAATACGAATGATAATGATAATGATAAGATAGTCGTGTTTATTTGAAAACCAAAGATGTAAAGATTGATTGAATACGAAACGGCCAACACCCCCCCCCCAAAAAAAAACCTGTCCAATATATAAATATATATTAAAACAAACCCGAGAAAAGACGAAGAAAATGATTATCAATACTTTCTTGAAACCTGAAAAAAAAAACAGAATCACAATGAGCAATCAACCAAAAAAGAAAAAAAAAGAGCGAGAAGAAAGAGAGCAAAACGGACCTTGATGAAGATTCTAAAAAGACTGACGACGAGGACGAGCGTATAGAGGGCGAGTCCCGCGAAGATGATGGAGACTAGTGAGGCCTGCAGATGGCAAAGTTGAGTGACGAGCTGAGGGGAGAGGTTAGCGAAGTTCGGGACCTCAGCGGACGCGTAAAGAGAGTGCTGATAGTCGGTGGTGATCTTGACGATTTGAGCGACGGCGTCCGGACTAGCTCTGATCGACGTCAACCGGGCCGCCAGTTCGGTTGGGATCCCGTTATTCGACTGGTTGAGTGGCGTGATAGTAGGACTTTGACAGCGTAACGGACTCCGCAGCTCGTCGTTCATCGTCAATGCTAAACCCGCTGACCATAAGGAGACAAACACTAGCTCGGATAAGGTGTGGAACATCTTCCAACTGACACTCCAGATTCCAATCGGCGCTCCAAAATACTAACAGTAACAATCATCATTGTTTTTCCAAATATATAAAAAAAAAGTCAGAATCTTCGAAATTTTGAGGAAGAGGAAAATGGAAAAACTTACTTCGCAATAAATAGCGAACAAATTATGGACCAAACCCAGTGGCGCAGCGACGAGCAGAAAGACAGTGCTAGCGCCAAGGACGCCGACGACGTTACCGGCGACCTGGGCCTTATGGATAGTCGCACAGAGTCCCAAGGCGATGGCGGTGAGGACCAAGTTGAGCAGTCTACAAACCAAGGGAGCTGTGGGATGGTGCATGAAATAAGAGCCGATCCGGGCCACTCTGCTTCGGTGATCTTGGTGACTAGTCATCGTTGTTGTCATTTGTAAGGAATTCAGATATGGGTTTTTCTTGGAATGGTGAGGATGATGATGATGAGGGTCATTGGAACTATCAAAACTCTCGACAAAGCCGACAGCTTGTGGGTTTTGTTGGCCGAGTTTCCGCGAGTTTTTGGACCGGTCATTCATGTGTTGTTGTTGAGACGGGGTCAATGACATCTTCCTCGAGAACGCGGACAACGGGAAGTCGGTTGGCGGATGGTGAGATTCGAGGGCCAAGACATGGTCCTGATTGGCGGGTTTATAGAGCGGCGAGATGCCGGGCAAGGCGCCATATCGATGGAGATCGAAGTGGGGGTCGTTGGAGTCGATCGAAGAGTACCGGGTGCCATGAGGGGTAGCATGGCGTTTGAGCAGGGCCAGGATCTTCCGGCGGTCTTCGTCGATTTCGACCATCTCTACACGGGGAGACACCAGGGAAGAGTGCTGGCCAAGCCTGCGATCCTCATCCTCCTCATCGTCCTGGCCGACCCCTCCAATACTCTGGCGACTCAGATACTCCTCGACCTTACGGCGATACTTCGTGGGCAGAGTGAACTGCCACCACCGGTCATCAGGCGGATGTTGGTGATGCCCGAGCCGTTGGTGGGCTGGACTACTGGGCGTCTGTTTACCTTCTTCGAGGTCCCGCTCGTGATCATCGTCATCTTCTGCGGCCGCTCCTTCCGCTGGGTTATTCAGACTATCTTCCGTCATCCGTTTTCTCTGCCCATTAACCATAATCAACGGCCGGAATCGCTGGAACACGGGTGAAGGGGTGGTCATTGCGCGATATAACGACCGACGAGTCGAGCTTGGTCCAGCGTTTCCAGGAGCATTGGTGGCTGAGTTTGGCTGTGGGGAACCCCGTTTATGGAAACGGTCGGTAGAAGAAGTCTGCAGATGGGTATTGAGCCGGAGATTGTCCACCTGATCCTGGGTGATAGTCCATTGGCGTCCGGTAGAAGGTGAATCGGGTACGAGGGTCGAGTTGGATACAGAATAGCGGGGGAATTTTGAGATGGTGAGAGTTTTGGAGTGATCCGGCAGGGGTTGCTCTAGTGGTTGAGGAGACTGGGGCCATGTGCGTTGAGGGAAGAAGTCAGAATGATCTGAGCGCGGTGTGCTTGATGGTTTCAGGGCAGGTGTGGGTGGGGTGGGTAATGGTTGAAAGAGCAGGTCATCGTCATCGTGGCTCTTTGCCCAAGCTAGTAGGAAGGTGAACAAGTAGTGAGTTATATGGGTGGATTGTCAACAGTGAGATGGAAGTACTAACGAGGGAGTGTGTTAACTTTGGGACGTCCGTTTGGCTTGATGAGTTTTGAGGTAGAAGGAGTGTTTTCGTGAGATGAGTTATTGAGGCTGTTAGACTGGTGACTGTCTTGAGACTGTTGTATGGAGTGGTTTCGACTGTGAGCATAGTAGAGCGAGTTAGCTGCCGAGTGAAGTGAATCTCCTTCTGAGTGATGGTAGGGTTCAGCTAGGATGGCTTCGAAGGCTGAGTGGGGAGTAGTAGATGAGCAGTGGTGGTGTTGGTGTTGATGGTGGTAGTGGTGGTGGTCTGTTGGTGGTGGCTGTAGTAATGGGGGCAGTTCATTCTGGTTGTTGAGTGGGATGGCTAGGTTTGAGTTCTTTGGGTTCAGGTTGTGTCTTCGATGTCCTTGAGTTGTTGAACTTGAGCTGCTCATGATGCTAGCTGGTGAGTGTGGTGGTGGAGATGAGTCTTGTTCGAGGTCTTGATGGTTTGTTGTTGTGTCCATGTTTTCTTTGTCTTCTTCTTCTTCTTGTTTTTTTTTGTTTGTTTTTTTTCGTTTTCGTTTTCTTCTGATCGATTTAATCGGGGGTTAGTTTGTGAGTTTGTTGATGTTGTTGGGTGTTGGTCTTTCCATTTTGGTATCTCCGTGGTTCTTGGCCAGTCTTGCAAGAATTCTTCCACTCAACCAGACCAGCCTCAGTATGTCGATCCGGAGAGATCCGCGGCCAGAGACCCCTCATGCTGCGCAATGACGGGTGCGGACACAGCATCATCGGACCCGATTAGTCCAAAGTCACAACTCACCCACCGGACACAATCCTTGCGTCTTCAAGCTGCCAAAGCCGATTTCCCTTCTATCCCTTATCCAAGAGTCCCCTTACGAAATGTGAAACGTCCGACCCACTGCGCAAACTTCCCAGTCATGAAGCGATATGTTGATAAGCGACCTACTGACAAAATTGTGGGGAAAAGCAAGAGACCCAGCAGTAAGGAAATTATTCATGATGTTGATGTTGATGATTTGTGGAGAAATTGTAGATTATACAGATCTGACTCACCTGGTTGGTTTTCCTAGATAATATGAGTAAAAAAAAAACTATCGAGGTAATCAATCTCGTCTCATTGAAGGAATTGTAAGCTATGTAGTTAGCATAAAAAGTTGACATACAATAACACTGCGGGAATGGGTATCCATAACCCTACATAAAATTCACAAACCCTTGATCTCCCCTTACCAACATTCTAAAAGGCAAAAAATGCTCAGGTGATCATATGAATAGACCTGTTTCCTTTGAATTTCTGCTTACTCCACCCTTTGCCATTAATCAACAAACCAAATCAAACCAAACCATCCAACATGGAAGCCATGTTATTCACTCGGAATTTATTAGCTATGCTAGAGCTCTTACGCTACCATAATGCAGCAACCCTTCCAAATTCAACAATACATTCAAAACAGTTGGCCAAAAGTTAATGGTCAAAGAGATCCAGAAAACAGTTGATCATCATGATATATCCATCAACCAACCGGGTATCAAGTCAAAACAACCAGCTTCAACAGCCAATTGAATCGTGATTATCTCATTCTTCTTTTTGGATGTGTTATTTGATCTATCTTTCAAGCTCATGATAGGAAAGATCAATGGTCTTCTTCTGATGCTTTGTTTTTTCAATGCAGTTGATAAAAACCTGGAAAATGACAAAGCATCCAAGCAAGACCGTGAACCCAAATTATTGCCATCATTGTCCACATCCAAATCAGCTGTCAACTGTTGGTCAACTTTCTCATTTGGTATCAGGATTTCCAGCTAGTGGTATTTGAGATCAATATTATATTCTTCATCTGAATGTTGGTTATATATGATTCAATTTCTAGCTGATGGAAAAACAGTTGTAAGAGAAGAACTCAAAAAAGACCACAAAAAAAGAAAAGCATCTGTAGATGAGAAGTGTCAACAGGTATGTCGTTTTTCAATTCAGATTTTCTTCTTCATTTCTGATATAGTGAGTAGGGAAATTTAGTTCAGAAGTTTCAATTCAGCCCAAGGGTAAGCATTTAATCCAGAATTTTTAGCCCAAAAATTCAAGTAAAGCAAATCTCCTAAAGATGGTTTGATTCACTTGGACTACAAGACATAAATAAAAGTAAGAAACTGTGTGTAATGTAGATGAGATTGGTGCAAGTTCAGTTTTTTTCCCAAGACTAATCAAAATTTAAGATGGAAGGAACAAGCGGTTCATAATTAATTGTGATTGATAAGAATTCATTTTGAGGACCCAAAAAAACCGTTTCAAATTTTTTTCTGAAAATTAGTGGCACCTCACATCAAAAGAAGTGTTAAAAGCCTAAATGATACTTACTGAGATGTCATTTAAGTCCAATGAGAAAATTATCAAAACACAGAAGTTTCAAAGAGTTTTTGAGTTGGATTGTTTGACTGAAATGTGATATAATTTCACCCTAAAATTTAGATTCAAGTAAATTCGTTTAGGCCCTCAATAAGAATAATTTACAGCTGCAAATCCCCTCAATACTCTGATGCAGCATTCACAGTGATTCTGGATACATGATCTGAACCCAGAAACAAGAAACCCTGTATGCAAGATTTTCTTTTACCTTCTCTTCTAGCATCAAGAAGAGACAGGCAGGTTTCAGATTCTAAACAAACCTACTATCTCTCCATTTGTCCTATCCTTATTCTTCATACATAAATATCTGTTCCACTTTCATTCAACATACACTCCTAAACCTTTCAAACCTAACAAACCATACAAGCCATGTTGTCAAGCCACATCTTACTAGCTCTTCAGATGTTATATTACTGTAATGCTTCATTAATACCAATCTCACCTTCAAGCAATCTTGTTAAGAGAATGGAAACTGCTGAGGAGATTGTTGAAGGATCTTACAAACACAAAGGATCCATAGAGGTATCATATTGTATGTCAGATCTCTAATTATTTGTAAAACTTCTTCCAAAATGTTGGTTGATATTGCTATCTCCCATAAAATGTTGATGCCAAATGATTTTAAATTTGTAGTGCCTCATGAGGAGAATGGCTCGGAAGAAGAAGGTTTTTGCTTTTACCCTCAGTCATTGATTTTGGTCACATCCTAGTTGGACCATTGATTCTTGATTTAATTCCATAGTCTGTCAAACATCTAAATCAGGAAACACTAATAAACAGGTTGAAATACAAGAAAATCTACCCAATGTTGCAGAAGGAAAAACTGGTAGGCCACAATGTTTTATCCACCTGTATCTCTGATCTTCTAATTTTCAAACAAAGTTTTCCCATAATGCTTGAATTTTCATCAACAACACTTGACTGATCCTGACATCCAATTATTTATAATTCCTTTTCCTACTCAGCTGAGAAAAATGATGTTGCAGTAGGAAAAGATGTCAAAGAAGCCTCTGGATTCAAATTTTCCAAAGAAGACCCAGTATTTGGTATGGAGCACCAAGATCTTTATCAAGCAATGCCAGGAATCATTTTTCCCCTCTCGATATATTGTAAAAATTGATGTTTCATTGGCCCCTTCATTTCTTGTAGTGTCCAAATTGGCTGAATTAGAAAAACGTTAGCATTTCAAATCTGAAATCTTCTTTTGTTTTCTACATCCAAATTGGACCACTCATGAATTATCAATTTCATCCATTTTGAACATTGATAGATAACCCCCGAACAGCAAAAATTATTTCTGAAGGTAGTTCATATCACACTTCTTCCTTATCTATATCCCAATAAAACTGAAAAGAAGTGTTAAAATTGTGCTAAAAATTCCATGAACACTTCAAATGAAAAAATCAACTAAAATACACAGCTGTAGATTCTGCAGAAAATGATCATATGAAGAGAATGGATACCAAGGATGCTTGAGGAAAGAATGGTAAGTTTTATCTTATCAAATCATGATTTGCATGAACACTTGAAACTTGAACCTTTTACTTATATGAAACCTTCTTCCATTAAGATTGTTTCTTGATTGTGGCAATTTTGCTCAATCTTGATCCGCTCTCCTTTTCTCTATCTCGCATTCTTGTTGTTGGTTATACATGAGGGTTGATTTTCTTTTTCTTCTATTCATTTTTGAACTCATACATAGACTAAGCAAAAAAGCCTTCAGCTCCGATTAAGACGGTTGGTATTTGCTGATCCCAAACTTAAGCCTTATCTCAGTCGTACAGTGAGAATAACTGGCAGGTTAAATTGATCTAAATGGCAATGTTGTTGTGCCTGTGCTACCGGTAAAGGGGTTTTACCGTGTTGGCATTTTCTTGTTCCATTTTTTCTTGACTCGTAACATTACCCACACTCAAAGTGTGTGAGGTGAAGGTGGGAATTTACTGTTGGAAAAGAGTTGTTGCACCGTAGAGCGAAGACATGCCTAAGCGCAGTGTCACCAGTGAGCTTGAGTCAACGTCCTGATGATCAAGTGACTGGCGAAGTTGCCAAGTTAGCACCCTCAACGGCATTCGTCCGTGAAACCTCTTCTTGAGCATCGCCACCGAGATAAGATGAGATGCCTTGCTGTGACTGTCCCTAGGACGACTCTTCGAGCCTGAGCTTAACATGACAAGAACGGACATTAATTTTAGGACTCTATCGACCGTGCCGCCGGCCGGTCTGCTCGACTCGGTTCAGAAAAAACTACAAACAATGGTTTGCCCAAGCTCCATCCATCAAGATTGTAAGAAAATCGGCACAGATCAGTGATATACTTGGCGTACAACCACTCAAGGCCAGTAAAACCAAACCGATTACGACACCTCGACCAGTTTCGTCGAGTCCATTCAAGATACAGACACCGCTTTGCCCAAGGACCATCCACCGCGATTTCAAGATAATCGTCACAAAGAGGGATATGCTTGGCGTACAACTCTTAAAGAATAACGAAAAGCAAGAGGTTTCCTAAAATTCCTCCGGTTTCTACGAGTCGATTTGAGGTTTAGACATCGCTTCGTTCCTGGGCCCATCGATGCCTTATCGTCTCATGAAGAGGACATACTTGGCATACAACCTATGAATGAGAAATCTTACCGGGTTCGATACCCTGTTTATTAGTGTCCTCGCTTGAGAATACAGGAGAATTCGTGCACGAGAATTCAGCTGCCGGACTAACTTCACAAACGTCCCAGAGAAAGGAGACGCTTGGAATACAAAATCTGGTCAAGAACAAGAGCCAGGACTCACTAAAATCCACGTCGATTGGGGATGAAAATACTGATGGACACCAGGATGATTGGTAGGTAAAACAACTACTCACGCAATTGTTCCATGGAAGGAGGAAGCTTGGCGTATACAGTTGGCTCACATGTTCAGCAAAATAGCGATAACCCGGGGGCAAGAACCCGTAATCTTCTGCTTTCATGCTTTCTTCTTGTCAAGATACGACAGAAAAATTCGGATTATAAATAGACCTATCAGTTGACTGTTCTTATCATCTCATTATCCTCATCATCATTCGCCATCATTCATCTGCGCTCCAGTCCTAAACATTTATAGCAATTCAACCAACCAAGCTATCCACAGTCATGTTGCTTACCCAAATTTTATTAGCTCTCCAGCTCTTACATTACTATAACGCGGCAGCGCTTCCAATGCCACCTTCAACGCATCTGGTCAAAAGGATGGAAAGGGTTTCAGAGGCTACCCAGGAAATAGGGACAAGCAGGGGATCTTTGAGATCAAGCTTCAATTGTAAGACTAGATCACTCCTGTTTTTCAGGTGACAGCCCGAGATTGCCGTCCCTTTCAGAATTTTGATGTCAGATGATTCGTTTTACAGCTGATAAAAGTTTAGCAGTAGGAAGAACGCTCGGGGGAAAGCGTGAAGGTGCAGCATCCTTAAAAATTTGGGATCGTGAGTCAAATTTTCCATCCGGCCGTTGCTAACAATTCATATAATGTTCTGGTAATATTTACATTCGAGATCGCTATATAATACTGAATTTTAATGATTGATGATTCATTCTTTAGCTGAGGATAATTTTTCAGCAGGAGAAATGCTCAAGGAAGACGGCAAAGGTAAAGAAATCGCAGGAGGGTCAAAAAGTATGTCAAATTTCCCCCCGGCCTTTTTCCCAAGTGATACTTGATATTGTTGTCTCCTGGGACTGAATCTTGACGATTTGTTATTAATTTTGCAGGTGCGAAATATTTCACTACAGCCGGAGGTTTGTGCTTTGGTCATCAGTGAATGGTGTTTGACGCATTCACCTGTAAACCTGACGCTTCATCTCGTACTTTTAGGAAACCATATTGTTAAAGTTAAAGAAAGTTGGCCTGCTCTAGTTAAGGAACCATCATGTAAGCAATGTCAATTTACATCCTCAGTTCTCTTATATTCAAATGACAAGTTCTAAATTATACTCATAATTTAATTCATACTTGTCTGATCTGGAATTTTGATGATTAATGCTTCACTTTTTACCAGCTCACCTATTGGGAACAGGAGTTTTTAGGATAAACCTTAAAACCGAAGACATAACAAAGCGTATGTCGCATTTGTTCATTTGGCTTTTCCATCTAATTAATAGTTGAGATTTTTGTCTAGTGCAATATGTTGATGATTCATTTTTTCATTTTGTAGTTACCAAAATATATGATCATTTCTATCAAGGTTTGAAATTTGAATCTCAATGAATGATGCTTGTAAAGTCTGAATGCACCAATAATAAGTCTGCATATAAACTATTTTAGGATCAAAGGACCATTCTGAAGCCGCCGAAAAGTTTGCCCAATGTAAGTGATGCACTTTGCACCCTCTTGTCTGCCTGATATCCAAAAGAAAGTTTCAAATTGGGATAAATTTCTGATTTTAAATGCAAAAAAAATTGATACCAATTGAAATTTTTAGTCCTTAAGGGATCTCCTTTAGATCAAAAGGAAAATGTAGAAAAAAATGTGGCATCATCTTTGCATGGTAAGTTGTATTTTTTCAAAATCAAAGTGCTTACAAAAATGGAACACCTAGACTTATTACTGATACTTGAAAATAAAAGATCCAGAACTTGCCAAGGAAAAGACAAAAGCCGAGGATAAATATTCCGCCAAACAATTGCCTAAAGCAAGTACCAGTCCAGATGAAAAGTATTGTGAGTAAATCTTTGTGTTTAATTTCAAAAATAGTTAGTTAAATTGGAAATTTTTTAGTTCTTAAGGGATCTCCTGTAGATCAAAAGGAAAACAGAGGGGAAAAAATGACATCATTTTTGCATGGTAAGCTGTATTTTTCAAAATCAAAGTGCTTGTAAAAATGGAACACCTCAACTTATTACTGATACTTGAAAAACAAAAGATCTAAACATTGCCATAGAAAAGACAAAACATGAGGGAAAATATCTAGGCAAACAATGGCCTCAACCAAGTACCAGTCAAGCTGAAGAATCTTGTTAGTAAAGCTTTGTGTAATTTCAAAAATGATTGGTTAAATTAGTGGTGCATTTCTGATGATTCATATTAATTTTTAGATGGACCAAAAGACATAGGAAAGATAGGTGGGCCACCAGAAAATGGAATTGGCCATGGTGTAGAACAGGGAAAGAAATATGAAGGAATGAGATTTAGCCCCACAGTTCGATATCAACCAGCATATGCCACCAGTGATCCAGATTGTAAGCTGCAGAACCTGTTATGAAGACCGTACCACAAAAATTGTGAAACTGATACACACATAACCTAAATATATATAAAAGATAAAAACATTAGAATAAAAACAAAAGGTTTGGTAAGAGGTACTGCCGAATTGGCAAAACTAAGATTCAAGGGCCGTCTTGGCAGAACAATCAATGAACTTTCAGCTAGTGTTGAAAAAAAATTGGGCAATACTAAAGCTAAATATGGGGGGGTTTAAAAATTTGAAGGGGGTATCATATGTCAAAGCCTGGTAAAATTTGTCATTTTTTCAATATTAGAAATTCTCATGAAGTCAATGCAACAAGAAAAAATGCACAAATTAAATATTCTTCAGCTTTACAGTTACCACCAGACCCTTCTATCATTTATTTTTGAATACTGGTTCTTTCTTCAACCCATTTGTTTCTTGAACTTCTGTACTTTTTCCCTTTTTCTTATCTAAGATCTCAGTTTCTGATTTAGATTTTAAATTCCAGCTTTTTCCTCAAAGACTTCATCTTTTACATGTGATTCTCATCTATTATTTATATTTAAAATTTTGTCTGCCATTTCTCAGGATCACTCAAAAAAAGACAAAACAAAAAAATCTCCATCATTTTTGAATCTTGTCAATCCTATGATTTGCATAGATTTCCTCTTTGGGTAGATTATACCAGTTTTTTCCCCTCACTATTTGGAATATATTTATACAGATATCTTCCCTTGAATGGGTCTTGTTTTTCAGGGAATTTTTTGGTAGAATGAATGGTTGTTATCAGAAGAAAGCCCCAGCTAATGAGATGTGAAAATTGATAACCTCAAACAGCCAAGCCCACCAGTCTGGTAATGTGGAAAAGATATTACCATAGTGTGATTGGGATGACATTATCACTGGTATTGGTAAAGCAATCAATTTCTAAGTCAGTCATCCCTGGTTGAATTTTCTTTCTAAAATTATGGGATATTGAAGAATTCTGAAATTTGAAAGAAAACTACACTCAAGGGCCCCAACAAGATTAGTATTCCAAACCAAATCAATTATCTCCTTGTGAATATTCTCAGGCTAAAATCCCCTACAAAAGCTGCAATTTGGTAAGATCCTAGGGATGGGGCCAAAGAAGAAATGTTTTTGATGGTTTGAGACAGCTTTGAATACCCAAAATGTGACTCTTTTATCAAAGTTGAATATCTCTTCAATCATGTTGTCCACCTCAAATATGTGGTAGGCCCAGAAAATTGGAGCCTACAAGAAGTGCAGAATATTTCCGCACGGATCTGTTAAGTGCGGAATTTGTACTGAGCTGTACAGACCAAGAGGTCCATCCATATTGGAGAGTGGGCGGGTTGGACTTGTTTCATCAGTGGGCTGGTGTCGGTCAGGTTTCATCATACTACTCACTGGAAGCTACATATATAATATAGTAATCAAGGATTGTTGGGAAAATAAGCACAACTATTCCAAGCCTGCCTTCTTCAATTTTGTCCAAAATGTTCTTTTGATTCTCAAGGCCCATGATTCAAACATCATGTCATTGCTCACCATTCAAGACATGATGAAGTTCCTCTGTGTCACCGCCGATGTGGTAGTGCTGCTGCATTCAGAGAACTCGCTTCAGCTCACTGCACACCAAAGGCCTAAATGTTTGAGATTGAGAGTTCTAATATACCCCTTTCCATGTCTGTGGTTAGAGTCAGGTTGATGACACTAAAGGCGATGATCAAGATTTTGTCATCAAACAAAGCGACAAAAATGAACTCAGGTCTTTGAACGTACCTGCCAGTTGATGTTTGCTGGGTTTGCAAAGCAAGGGGGATGGTATCGTAGTTGACTAGTGGAGTTGAGTGGGCAATCTGGGCAGGACAATCCAGTGAGATGTCCAATGATGGGAGGTGGAAGGGGATGGATATGTAGACGGTGTCTATTGGTGATGTAAGTTTTTGCTGGAGTGGAGATGTTAATCTGTCCAGACATCTTAAAAGACTGGATATGAGTCATGACTAGTAAGCGCTGAGATCTGAGCAGCTGAATTCATTGTTCTCGTTTTTTGAGCAATGTATGTTTTTTTTCCCTTGATACTGTTGGAAAGACCTTTTGGCTTTGGAAAGATCTTTCTGCTTTTGGATTTTGCAACCGATGTGCTCACTAGAAACCTTCCGGAGTATAAGCTGTATTTTGCCCGGTTTCTGCACTTTCCGCACTTTCCACCTTGCCTTGGGGAGGCTCCGATGCTCTCGGTAGGCCGGCTCAGAAGTCTGTTTTGCCTGTTTGGTGGGCACTCACTTGGCACTTTGCCCAATGCTCCACTGTACCATCATGTCAAAGAGCAGCACACGTGTCCTCCCAAGTAATGGTAATTTGCTTGGCAGTTTACGGTAAACCACAGGCTGAAGTTCAACGGGACAGGTGAAAGAGTTCGCAGATTGACGATGTTTCAGGTAAAGAGGTCAGATTGTCCAAGGTATAGATTTTTATCCGGAAAGTTGGACTAGGAGGTCCAAGAAACTTTTGAGAGGAAAAATAAAAGTTGCGGAGTCAAAATGGGACTGCAGAAAGCCACTTATAAGGGCCTATTGAAAAAGACACGTGTGATTGGAAAAACTGCCAACATCGCGAAATTGAAAAATGAAACCAATATCTTTCATCTGCGCCGCCCAGGTTGTCCGCATGTTTACAACAGCCATTATCACCCAAAGTCAAACGAAGTGCAGATACCGTAGCACCTCGCTAATAATTTGCGCTCGGAATCTCCGCTATGCTTTGCACATCAGTCCTCGATGGAACTTTCTCTTTCCTTTTTTACTATGTGCTGAGGATTTCGTTTTGAAAATGGTGCAAACCATGCAAATTAGTTGCAAACTTTTGGAGAATTTGCAACCGGCACGAAAGTCTTTTACTCCAGTCCAATAAAACCAGCCAAATTTTAAAACCAGTCAGGTCAGAATACAGTTCCAGATCGACTCAAGGTTGATTCGTCGAGACATCTGAGTAATAAAACTGCAATATGGCTTGGCGTACAGAGTTTGAAGAAAGTAAGAGCCAGGGGGTGATTCGCCTGCCTGTTAGTGCGCCTTCTTCTCAGTGACCGCGGGACGAGGTAAACAGGTTACAGGTTAGGGTTTTATGTCTAGCTGGTCTTTCAACTCTGCTCTTGGGAATGTGCCAGTGTCTCCTACCAAAAAGCTACACCAGCCATCAACTCAGCTAGAATACTCTTCCAAAAGAAACAATTTTACCATGTTACCAGTCCAGATCTTTATCGCCTTTCAACTCTTACGTATATACACCGTTTCGGCACATCCAATTTCACTTATCAAACCTTTGGTAAAGAGAGAAGTGTCAGAAGCTTCTGCAGATTTCCACTACCATTGGCTAAGAAAGAGAACGGAAGTATTGGAGAGTATGTTAATTTTGTCCTGATCAATCCGTTCATTGCACAATAGAATGGCAGTTCTCCTTCCAATGGTTGAAATTCTGATTCTTAATTTCTAGATGCCGCAACAGCTTCTGGGAAAAGTTAGTCATTCACATCATTATAGAGAATTTCCCTCATACCAAGACAGTTGCTGACCATTTCTTGTATTGAATAAATGAATGAAGCTGGGAGCATGACCCGAACCAATGCGGAGGCCTTGCACGGTCTTCAGGGTACTAGAAGTAAGTGGGATAAATTTAAAGAGATATACAATGCAGTACAGAAAACTGTTTTGTGAAGGAAAAAACTTCTATCCTGATTTTGTACATCAACAAATGCTGAATTTCTAGCTCAAATGTCAACACCATTAAGCAACAATGAGGGGCACAGTAAGTTTTTTTTAGAAAACAAACTTTTATTGACAGCATAATATTTATCCCATCACAATGCCATCTTTATTGAAACAGATATATTATCTATCCCTGAAAATGGGAACCATATGTGTGAGTTAAACTCCTAAGCAAATACTTATCATACTCAAAAACAACAGTGTCTTTTATTGAATTGTATTGTAACTTACCAGCAACAAACAAGGTGACTGCACAACCAAGTGAAATGAATACAGATGGAAAACCTGGCCCTAACATTGAGGGTTCCAAAAAAAGTAAATCGACAACAAAAGCAGACCCCTGGGTCAATCCAGGTCAATCAGATAGTGAGTATTCTCAATCAAAACTCTATACAACTTGATTCAATTCAAAAATTACTAGGTTCAAATTTTTCCATATTTCTAAGTACAATTTTGTTTTCTCATTTGACCTTCAGAAAGTGGGGGAAGACCTACCAGCCCAAACTACACAGATGGCAAACCTAAAACAAATCAAGAACCTAGATTCAAAAAATTCAAGTCAGCAATTAGTAAAATCTGGAATAAATTCAAGAATGCTTGGGATAGATTCATGAGATTCCTCCTCCAAAAAAATTATAAGCCAAAAAATGATTCTGAAATAAAAGGTGTAAAAAATTCTGATCCAACCTCAATTAATTCTCCAATTAAAAATAATCAAGATGTTACACCTTTGAAAAATCCTGGTGGGTGATCAATTTGAATTAATTTTGAAACATGAATAATTTTACTATCACAAACTGATTCAATGATTTTTATTTTCAAATACTCAGATAATGAAGACAAAAAAGAAAAAACTGTTGGATACATGGACAAAAAAAATGAAGCAGAAATTTATGAAACAAAGAAGGCAGTTCCATCTGGAAAGGAAACTACTTTTCCCCAAGAGAAAAAACCTGATTCCCCCCAAGGTCAGTCATGAACTTTTCTCTGGGTAATTTTAATTTATCCAATAAAATCTGATTAGATACTGGGTAAAAAGTAGTACACGTAGAACCAGAAAAATCAATCAATAAAGAAAACGATTATCCAGTAACTGGTAGTGAAGTAGATGGTGAGTGCAAAAATTGAACAAAGACATGTTGTCAAATTATCTAATCAGAAAGAACATGTGCTGCGTTTCAGGGGAAAAAGATGATAAGGATAAGAATAAGCCATCTGATGGAGAGGTAAGGGATAAAATATTTACTGAACATGAAGAATTGGGAAAAGGATATGAAAATGAAGCAGGTGAGTTCTACAAGTTTAAATTAATAAAAGTTTGCTCAATTTCTGAATCAAAAAAAAACTTTTCAAAAAAGGAGTAGAGAAAGGTCCAAATATGAATTCAAATTCCTTTGTTGAAAATGAGAAAGACAGCATCTTGCAAAAAGATGCTGGTGTTTCCAAAGAATCTGGTGTTTCCGAAGAATCTAGTGTTTCCAAAGAGTCTAGTGTTTCCAAAGAAGCTAGTGTTTCCAAAGAAGCAGGTGAGTCACAAACTGTTTCACTTTTAATATCATGTTTCAACAATCTGATAACATTTTTTTTGTTATCCTTAAAAAACATTTTCAAAAATCAGAGAGGCAGGATGAGGAACCAAGTGACAATTCAAGTCACTTTTTTGTTGGAGATCAAGAAGAAGACAAAATCAAAGAAAAGAAACAAGAAAAAAGTAAAGGCAAAGAGAAAAAAAAGAATGGTAAGTTCTAATAATTTGAATGCAAAAAATAAATTCTGGATTCCATACCAATTTTGTTTCATTTGATAAAGGTTCTGTATCAAAAAAACCAATCAATTCCTACTACCTAAACAATAATCAAGTTTTGTTAGAAGAGTTCAGTCCAGAAATGAAAAGTGAGTGCCTTGATCCTGAATGCACTTCTATGAAGATTAAACAAAAGGTTTTCTAATGAACAATTATGCATTTCTTCCCATAAAACATGATTTTACAAGTCAAAAAATCAACTGTGATGATTTCCAATACAAGGAAGCCATCTGCAGAGGCTCAAAAGTTATTTCCAAATTTTCAGCAGTCAGATGTAGAGTCTGAAATTGTTTCTGTGATGCTGTCTCATGAAAGAGATGATTCAGAATTGAAGGAAATCCAAAGTTTTTTTCCAAACGTGCAGAACATATACAAAGTGATAAAAAATTCAAATATAGTTCATTTTAATATAAACATAGAAGCATAGCTTATCATCATCACTTTTAGATATACCTTCTATGATTCTCCACATTTCAGGGTCAAAATTTTGAATTGTTTCCTCTATTCCTCTGAAGATTTACTTCATTCTTCTGCTTCTTTTGCTCATGTAAAACTTTTGGGATTTTGGAATAAATAAATAAAATGCTTCAGGTAAAAGTAACTTTGCAAAAGTTAAAAATATGAATTACACCAAGCATACAAAGAGAATGTGTTTTTCCCACTTGCAAACTTCTTCAAATTTGATTTTGGAAATACCCTTCCAATTTCAATTCACCCCATTTACAGCTTTCAGTCCTGCAAATTGGAAATTCCAAAGGAAGTTTTGGACCAAACTTGTATCTTTTCCCCACACTTCAAAAGGAAGGTCTCCTTGCTGTGCGCCAGCACTATTTCCAGCTTCCTGATTCAATATAATTTGCATGGTAAAAACTTTGTCTAAAAACAAGGATTTCTCCTGTAAACAGATATATATATATATATTTCCACTATGTAAGAGAATTGCTTTCCACACTGCCAAATGTGGTCGAGAGGGCAGGGTAGAGAACGTCCTAACCTGAATTTCATGGTTGCAACATTTAAAGAACCCATGAGACTCAGCCAGACACTTTTCACTTGGGGTATTCAAAGTTGAGCTGAAATAAGTGGTTAACTTGAATGTCTATCGACTTCATTTGCATGGAATTTTTCTGCAAACCAATTTTATGAACATTTGATTTTTCTGTATTTGAACTAATTTAGCTAGCTTTTATCCTGACACTGAAGTTTTCATATTTTTGAGAATGAAGATTGGAGCCCTCTTGTTCTGATCAACAATCCTAGTATGAAATACTTTTTAACCATTGATAAGCTTACACTAGTTTGAGCAAGATGTTTAGTCAACTCAGGAATTGTGGTGTAGAGTCTAAATCTCAGCCAAAACCCAACACTTTCTTTCGAGAAAATTGGCCCTCTTTTTCAATGCCAACTCCTGATGTACAAATATTGAGCTTACTTTCATCCAAGTTCAGAATTTGCTAGTTAACTCAGGAAAGATTTGTCGGGTCACATTTTGATGATGCTATGTTACTTAATTCTCGAAATGCTTCACAAAGGCAGATGGACTGTTACACTGCAGAATGAATGAGTTACATCAAGTTAGCAGTCCTTCAAGTGAAAAAAATATGAGGTGAAACCTTGGAGTTGTGCGCTTCGAGCTGCTTTGATAGGCCGAGCGTTCAAACATGAGGCATTTCCGGGTGCTCCCGAAGCTGGGGATAGTATCAAGGAGGCTATGAGCTGTCCAGTAAGGTTTGCGTATCAAGCGGCTTCCTTGAATCGCTGCGTTTTGCCAAGTTGTATTTGTGTCTATCGACAGTTCTCGATCCTTTCCCCATCTCAGTCGTCTGTCCCGCGGACCTGTGACAGCGGGGAAAACCATCCTGTGCGCCACCGAGACGGATAAAGGCAAGACCAAGCATTGTCATCGATTAAACTTGATTCAAGAGTTAACCTGCTTGTGCCTTGGAACCTGTACGAAAACCTCCTGCTCCGGGCTAACTGGTGCTAGGGGTGACGGACAGACAGATTGTCCCACACGGTTGTATCACAGAGTCATCATTGGGATCTTTCGATTCTTGCCTTAAGGCTTAGACCGACATATTTACTTGCAGCCCAAGGATCTTTAGAAGCGACGCAGTAACCAACCAAGAATTTGAACCCTGGTTACAAGATTTGTAATTTTATCTAGATAGTCCGCATATATCCTGCCTTGTATGGCGGCAGTCAGCCTCATCCCATGTTAGAACGACTGTTAAAAATTATCTTATCCTCCATTCATCCGATCGTCACCTTTGGCTCGATGATGAACATGATGAAAGCTTTCATAGTCGTCATCTTTGATTACTTCCTTTTCCAAATCCTCGCTATCATCGTTGGATCCACCTCGACCGATTCACCACTGAAGTTTGTAGAGGAATTACCAAGCAATAGTCTGACGAGGCGATCGACCAACAATTTGGCTAAGAGGACGGTTCCGACGGTGTTGGATGCTTGTGAGTCATCTCAGGCAGCCCCTCGAGCTGTCCTGCATGCCGGCGCTCCGGTAGCTGTGACCACGAGACCGCCGGATGTCCCGGAGCTAGTTGAATCAGCCACACCCGGTGGGCGATCCGTTGGAGACGAACAAATCGACGAGGTTTCTGATGAAGAAGTGGTGATTGGTTTGTCCAATGTTTTCTGTTCTAATTGGATGTCCTTCATGTGGACCGACTTTCAAGTATCACCACTACGACTAACTTCGACATTTCCCTTGATGGCTATAATATTTTGATAGCCAACGATCTACCCTTCCCGACCCAAGTGTCCACTATTTACGAAACCAAAACCTCCCTCGATCCTAACCTCCAACTTCAGGCGAAGAAGCAGCTAGAACGATTAGACTCCGAGTCACAAAATTCGGAGAGCCAGAATGGCAGCTTAGATTCCCGAGGTACGTCGGCAGATTTAGCTATCATTGAAATACAATTTGAGTTGGGAACAAGCCTATCGATGAAATGCGTCCGATAGAGACAAGCCCTGAGACCTATAACTTATAATGGTGTATCGCAAAAGACCTAGAAAAATCACATCAATGTTGACTCAACCCACAATATATAAGCCTCTGATTCTTCAACAGAGAAATTCTGATGACTAAATTGGCAATTTGTTTGCTCCAGGTTACTTCAAGGCTTTGCAGGATTATGTGGAGCAGGTCAAAGCTAAAGATTCTCGACCGAGGCGCTCTTCGTCTGCAGCTCAGGGAATAGTACCACCAGGAAGGGTACAGACGTACAGGAAAAGGTATGAAAAGCTGATCAAACAAAGGGAGGCACCTCTTGTTAAAACAGAAACCCCCTTCTCATTTGGTGAGTTGTTTATTTTTATCATAGAAGCCAACTTTCTCCTTCCCACCATTTGCGAATACCACAGAGTCAAAGAAATCTTAAATCTTCGTCCAATCCGTCTAGTTGAACTGTTGAGCAGAGGGAAATCCATGCTCACCTTTCATGCCAAGAAGTTTTTGGGAAGAATGATGAACAAAATGCAATCGTTTCAATTCAAAAACTTGAGAAATATCCTGCACCCCATGAAAAGCCCCGCCCCAACTCCAGCTCTGAAAGAGATTGAGCTCTCCAACCTAGGATGTAATTATCTATCCGGATTGAAATACGTTCTTACCTTCTTGCAATTCCAAAGCATCTTCCTGCGTCCAAACCATTACAATAGCTTTGAGATTGGTTATAAAACTGATGTGTCTCGTCTAAACCCGACAGGCCTGCAACTACTCACGGCCAACGGTCCAAAGTGGAGAGATGCTGGGGTTCATCAGGCAATGCCCCACCCTCTCAGAAACTTGGACTTAGAGCAGTCAATAAGGCCAGTTGACATTCCCGATTGGCTCAAAGGTTTGTAAACACTGGTTTACGCTGCAAACCACACAATCCCAAGCTAATCCATTCACACCTTCTTTGACTGAATGTTCAAAATTTATAATATGAAAAATTTCCAGAGAAGAAAGAAGTCATTCCTCACGAATATTACTCTGCCAACTTACTTCCTCTCAATCACCGCCTAGAAAGCCTTGAGACTGCCCCTGACCTTACTGAGAATGGGGAAGTAGTCCACCCCTTAATGACTGATAGTACTGGAGCAATTCCCAGTGATGAACTCTCTAAACCTCCAGTTCCGCATGCTCGTAAGTCAAAAAACAAGTATCAATGGTTTCACGGCAGAGTAACTACGACTTACCTAATTATTTCGGCTCTCAAAATCGAAAATCACTGACAGAACAAGACATATCAATTGGTAATTTGTCGAATAACGAGAAAGAGAAAAGTGTGGATCCTGAAGAAAATGAAATGGAAGCAGGCACTGGACTGGGAGTTGCCGAAGAAGTCCCATTAACAAAGGAAACTGCCAATCCGGTTAATGAGCTCGAGGGAGGGAAATCTCAGCCCTTCTCTCATGTTGATAAGGGTGAGTGAAGGGCCGTCCAGGAAGGTTTTGGGGATGATTGAATTGTTTGAACTGATAACTAATCTGGTGTTCCTATAATCAAAGAAGCACCAGAAGAAGAACAGAATTCAGCTAAAAAATCGAGGAAACAAGAAGAAAATGCGGGTTCCGAAAACACACAAGATGGGATTACAGTTCCCGACGAAGTGCCCGGAGAAATGGAGACCAAGATTCCCTTAGATATGGTCCTCACAGAACAACTGCATAAGGATCCCGTTGCTGAAAGAGGTAAGTGAAGCCCATTCAACAGTTCTTTGTTGCAATCTTAAATAGCTACAACTGAGTCTTGCGGATTTCTGATTATGAAAATCAAGCTGAAGAGTATAGCCCCGCTGGCGAATCGCCAAGACAAGAAGAGAAGCAAGATGCGAGTCCTTTGGGATCCGAACCCGAAGCCCATCATGGACCGGAATTTGTCCATGCAAAACCAGAAGAAGAAGAAACCGACACTGCGTTCAACGAGGCCGAAACAAAACAACCTGAGCCAAGCTCTGGTGACAAGGGTAAGTCAGACGCAAGCGGGGGAGTTATTGTGAAAATTTGAAATCACATTGATATGTTCTGTGTGTTGGTAAATTTAGACGAGGAAAACTTATCCCATCAGATCCCACCTGTTGATAAGGGCATAATGGGTGTTGCCCATCACCCGCTCGGCGAACTCGGAGAAAGCTTCGCTGAAAAAGATGGCAAGCCCTCCACTTCACAAGCAGGTAATGAAAATATTTTGAGCAGACAAAACTCTTCAGTCACTCGCAAATGGCAGGCTACTCATTTACTGACTTTTTTGTAAAATAAATAAATAAATAAAACAGAAGGAAACTCCTCTCAAAACCAAGGTGAAGTCCAAGAAAACGTGCAGGCTCATTCGGTACAGAGTGAAAAATCAGATTCGAGTCCAAATGCGAAAAAGACTTCCTCTGATTCTCATCAAGGTAGGAAAAGTAACTGGCTCTATTTACCTCTTGAAGTGACACTCATTATTCATTCTGGTCTTGCAAAATCAGAACCAGAGTCGGAAACACCCCCGTCAATCCAAGAATCCTATGCTAAACCAACTGACAAAAAATCAGACTCTGATCCTACGCCCGAGGACATTGCTCTTGCAGCGAAAAGTAAATTCACATCTTTATATTTTGCCTGAAAGTAACGTTTCTGACAGTCTGGCCTTTACGTAGAAGAGACTGGTACCAGCTCACCAATCGAAGGTCCGGAGCCTTCGCAACATGAACAAAGTGCGCTGGAACCCCTCGTTGCGGGTGTCGAAAGATATCCGGTACGAAACTTCCATTATGATTCGAAACCAGAGACAGGTGAGTCCAACTTGGATTTTGCATCTATTTCCCACACCGAAGAGTCTATGGAGGAAGGCTCACCTCATAAATTCCAATAGATCAACAGGATTCGGCACCTGTGGCGAGCGCTAGGGAAGGATTTCATCCAGTTCTTAATGAATTGATGGGATCGAAGAATGGTCCATCTCAGTCAGCAGAATCCCATGAAATCGGGGGACAATCAGAAAAAAATCAAGATTTTACTCCTCGTCCAGAAGCATCCTCACTGGGAACGCAGACCACCGAACTTCTGAACACAGTCCCCGAAGCTCACGAAGCTCCGACATCTGGAAATGGTGAATAAATTTGCTTCCTTTTTCTTGAGGTTGGTTTGTAATTCTAATGTCGTGAAGTATTGTTTCTTCGTGCCTCACTCGCAAAAGATGATTCCTCAACGACAAAACCCATTCCGAATGAAGCAGAGGAAACGAGAGACCCTTTGATTTCCGGCGTCGAGGCAAACGCGAACGGAAACGGACACAGTGTGTCCAACTTACAGCAGGGTACAAACAAATTAGATAGTCTTTCTTTTAATATGTTGTAGGAATTGAAAGCTGACGTTTTCATCATCACCGTCTTGAAGGTTCAAAAATGCACAACTCAAATCATCTGACAGATGGATCTAATGCCCCGCCTGTAAATGGCAAAACAGCATCTTACAAGGACCCGTTGAAATTGAGTAAAACAATGGATATTACCTCCCGTTCGCTAGAATCTTTCGAGATACCGGCACAGTCACACAAAACACATGATGTTACTCAGCCGCTTCAGGCTCCACAAACCAATAATCTTGTCAACTCAGCCCCACACGCTCACGCAGAGCCAATATCTCATAGAGGTAATAAAAGTTGTTATACTTATTTACACCGTGTGAAATACTAAATCCATGAATAATTGCTATCTTTATTCATTGTTAGGAGAGGAAGACCCTCTTAGTACCCGGCCAGTAAAAGGAGTTGAACCAGCCCCCGTGAAACCTCGTTTTGCCTTCCTTCCTGAACCAATCCAAGTACCACAACTCTCGCTCAGATATAAACCAGGTGAGGTGAACTCAACTAGTTAATGTTTTATCTTTCAGTTTTAGTTGCAATTGAAACCTGACTAGAAATGCCTTCTGTTTTCAAACCATCAGAAGCGCAATTCCTTGGTCATGCTAGAAGTATGCAAGGCCAACGGGCCAACAATGGTCGTTTTAACCGGGGTTTCTCTCGCCTTCGCCCATCCGAGTCTCAACAAGATCTCACAAAGTTAACAGAATCTACACATACTCCATTCCAGTCAACAAACTCTCAAATAAGTCGCAGGAAATCAGTCAAATTGGGAGATGTTACCGCAGATTTTGAAGAACCAAAGGAGCCTCCACTAAATCGGGAGTATTCGGGCCATATCCCCCCAAAGGGTCCTCGAGAAGGTGATTTTTGAAACTGATTTTTGGCCATCTAGTCAATCTTAATGAAAATATAAACTGCGAACTAAACCTAGACTATCCCATCGTATCCTGAAACTTGAAAGATTTTCGTAATAATTATGACAGCACTGGGGCAGATTCTGATTCCTCTACACAAAGAGCTGGCATGCCTTCAATGAAATGTGAGAATCTTTGATTCAGACCCCGAAAACATGATCTTCTTCACTCATATCGGAATGTCATTACTTTCCTTACTACAGTACCGAAGGATTTTTTTGTTACCCCACAAGGACTTAAACCCATTATCACAAGAAAAAGAGAAATAGAACCCCTCGAAACAGGTAATGACAAACATAATCCCCAGAGAGTCATTGCATTGCTCTGTTTATCCTGCTTACCGAAAATCCATTCATATAAATTTGTGCAGAGGAGGGCAAACCTATCAAAGACATTTTGGCAGCTTTCAAGCAGGCTCAACTGGAAGATTCACCAAGTGAGAGACAAACCATTGATCTGATTTAGTTCTCCATGGAATATTTTTATCTGACTGCAAATTTGACTGAAATGTGACTATATCATCAAACTGGGTGGAATCAGGAGTGGGATCGCCGGTCGACAGACTCAAAGGGATCATGAGGAGTTCTCCTCGAGGTAGTCCGCGTAGAGTTGGCACCCCCAGTCCGCGGAGAGTTGGATTTGTTACTACAGATAGTACACAATCTCGCCCAAAGGACAAGTAATCAGTCATTCCACCCCCTAATGGATTTCAACTTGAATCTGACGCATTTCTGTTGATTTTTCTTGTTTGTATAGGAGTAAATTCTATCTTGAAGTTGTGGGAGCAGAGGAGCAAAATAGAGGCGCAGAGGGTTCTCCAGGTATGCACAATCTACTGCCTTTGTCGCTATTGAAATTCATTGGCTTACCGAACTTTAAACCTTTGGCCCACAAGTCCTGCCGTTTCAATCCTCTGCAGATGATGAAAGCCCCTGTCAGTATCTCTGATTAATTAATTTACGGTTATAGAAGGAGAGTATGCTTAGATTTTTTTTGAACTTTGCATAGCTAAGAAGCCGTTAGCAAGGGCCAAATCGGCATATTACATGAAGGTGTCATCGCCGAGAGTAGGAGGCCTAGATGTCTTTGCTGATAAATCAAAATTACGTGTGTATAACTCCAATTCTAATCGTCAACTGGGCTGCTACTGACTGTCTTCTTGTTCTTTGGGCTTTGCCATCAGTGAGGACATATTCAGTAAGAACCCTAGAAAAAGATGACCCGTGGGACGACAAACACGAGCAAGACCCGGCTACTCCCCGTACAAAGCCCAAACCGTTGGACTTGGTGTTTTTGCAAACAGTTCCTGAGAAAATTCACAACCCAGAGGAGGATCCAGCACCAAGACAGCGGGTTCCATACTGTGAGCGCTTTTGTCGAATTGTAGAAAACATGGATTTGGTCTGCCAATGATTGACTCTGAATACCATCAAATCAGACCGCCGGAAAGCAGATATAATAGCGGGTAATAAACCCCGACGTCCGTCGAAGAAGGGCGCAAACCCTCGTAGACCGCGATCGAGACATCCAGTCAATACAAAAAACCTTCCTGCCATCAAAAGAGGCGATAAAAAATTACAGCAGGCCAAAGATTTTGTGCGCCGGCTCCAAAGGTTCACATTGAATAAAGCAATTCCTGTTGTCGTCAAGCAACCAAACCTCAAAGCGAATTTGGTCTATCCCAGTCTCAGTCTGCCGGTTAATTCTATTGATCAATCATTATAGTCTCCACTGCCATTTCATTGATGCAGCTTATTTCCAACAAACCTTGGCTCATGAACAATCCACCTTCACAATTTTGGGTTATATTTACTTCTTTTTTGGCGTCTTGTTTTTATTCATTACAACGATTGTACAAAATGACAAATGGTTCTCTGGCGGATTTTTACACCGGTTTGATCGGTTACAGGCAGTGTGCAGCATAGCCACTACCGAGGGCGCTGAGCCAAGCCAAAAGATGTGTGTTTTAGCAAACCGGTTTGCCTCAAAAGGTGTGAAATCTTGGTTTACAATCTGGGTTTTTCTCATGGTTTAGATGTGGCCAGCTCCTACCCATCTGGTATGAGAATGCCTCCTTGTTTTCGAAGGCAACATTACCTCAAGATGGTGATTATGCGGGTGTCATAGGGGACGCCAATGTTTTGCAACAAAAGCTTGATATTCCGCTGCGGGCGCGATGGATAGATGTGGGCTTAAAGCATTCACGCACGGGACCAATGAGGAAAGAGTGTTTTCACAAACGATGGGGCAGTTGAAAAATTCCTGGGTACATAATCAATCTGAGTGGTGCTATTTTGTGAATAATTCTGTAAAGATGTTCCTAATTATGATAATTGACTTGGTTGGTAAGGATCGAGAAAAAAATGAATGAATGAATGGATTTCTGAATCACGTTTTTTTTTGGCAATGTGGGCTGAGTTTATAAAGCTAATGAGTGTTAAGAAGAACAAGCTGCAAGAAGAAGAAATTACGAGTGGGAGAGTAGTTGATGAGTGTCCCTTCCCATCCGCCATGTCGGCTTGGCTGGTTTAACAAGTTGAGTTGAAAGAAACTTTGATAATTGTGACTACACCATGGCCACATGGGTTGTTTGGCCCTGTGAGAACATATCTTGTTTTTTTGGGAATGGGTGCTTTGAGGGGCTGCTAATCAGGCGGCGTGCTGGGTCGCTTCTGGGGCGACTTGAGCTTTAAGTGGGTTGGGAAAGGAATTATTCAACACATTTTGAAAACAATCTGTTAAAACGTGCTGTACTCACCATCAGTTGGTGCAGCTGGTTTGCGGAGGTTCGCGGGTTTTCTCCAGAAGGCGAGTTTCTTCCAGTAGTCACCAGTAACTGTGTGGATCAAAATAATTTGTTAGTTGCTTATCGTGAGCTAGCGATGGGCGTAAATGAAGTGACTCACAGTACCGCTTGAAGGCAGCGAATCTTGATGCTTTAGTTTGTTCTTCTGTAGAATAAAAACCAATTCTGAGTCAGTGATCAATTGCAACAAGATGATGAATGATGTTAGGGTTAGCCGCAGAAGGAATGAATGTGACTGACTATTCGGTGCTTTTTGAGAGAAGAATTTTTCTGCTTGGAGAGCGAAAATAGGTCAGTGTTGCCCCGTTTATTCAAAGCAAATAGGCTATTGACTTACCCCAAATCTTCCTTATTGGCGACTTTGTCTGTTCCACCGACTCTAGGGTCTCTGAAAAGTGCGGGGTGGTGCCATCGTCAGCACCACTAACATAGAAATCAACTACAGCAGGCAAAATGTTACGCACCAGGTGCTGCACGGGAAGCTGTGGAGGCCGTTTCAGTAGCTGGTTTTGCTGCCACAATCTGGGATTTGAATTCTTTGTCTGTGTAATCAAAAATCAGCGGTTCAGTCTCTAAAGATTTAAAACACAGTTGATGAGATCTAGAGGGGTAATTTACGCTTTTCGGCGAAATACTGCCTCCAAGTACGCGGGGCCGCCTTTTCTGCCTCAGCTGAGATGGCCTTGGGATCTGCTGGATTGACTGGCTTTGGCGTCTCAGTGGACAGGTGATTTGATGGTGCAGCAGAGAGATCGTTGGGCGTTTCCGTGGATGGCCTTGGTACTTGCTCAGTTGAAGGGGGGCGTGGTGCTGAATCATGCGTCAACGATTTGGGAGTCTCCCGCGGGACTTCCATCTTGGCTACTTCTACGCCAGTGGGTTTCGAGGTTCCTGTTGTTTTATTCATAAAAGATAGGGAGATGAGTTCCAGCTGGAAGAAGGAAACCAGTCGTATGTGCATAAGTAGGCAGAAATCATAACACGGGGTGTAGCTCACGTTTCCTGACGAATAGGGAGATGAATTTTTTGTAACCTGACGAGATAGTTCAAGAGAAAATCAGCTGATGGTGTTCATTTGTGGCGCGCGGTAGGTAAAAGTGTAAAACTTACGGGGTTGATAGGTGTCTTTCCACTGTTGACGGAATAATTCACCTGGAAAAGTTGGGATACTTTGCAATTAGCTCTGGAGATCTCCTTCAACTGAGCTGAGGAGAAAAGAGATATATAACAGGTTTTCACTTACGTGTGCTAGGCTTCACAGTGGCTGCTTCGGGATTGAGAGGGACACCAGCAGGTTTCGGGGTCTGTTCTAATGCTTTGGCAGAGTTGGCCAACTCCACTTTGTTCACGGGGGTGTATTGATCGGTCGGTCTTAACGAATTAAATCGTTGAAAGTCTGCCGGGTGGGTAGGCTCGCCCGTTACAAGGGCGGACTTGGACTTGCCGTATTCTTTGGCGGGGTTGGAATCTAAGCCTTGAAGTCTGTTTGGATCGGCGGACTGATCTAGTGCTTTTGGCGCGTTGGAAATTTCAGGTTGGCCTGGCGCATGTGGGTTTTGCACGTCTCCTGTGGGCAAACATGGTCGAATTTTGATGGGATTTTTACAAGAGTAGATAGGGGTGAAATGAATCAGCGCGAAGCAAACGCGGCAAGTTTTCCCCGCATGACTTCTGAGATTCTGAAGAGACCGATGACCAGGGCTAGTGCTTACCCTTGTTCAGTTCGGGCTGGGGTGGGGCCGGGTTTGGAGTGGTCTCAGTCGGTGGACGGAAAACTTCATTCGGCTTTTGCTGAGTAGAGTGCGATGTTGAAGCCCCGTTGGGATCTAATGTATCGTGCCCAGTTGAAAGCTGCTTGGCTTTGTGTTTGTGAAGAAAGGCTTCGATTAGATCACGAACGATGGAAACTCATCAATCATACGTACGAGGCTTGACAAGGTCCTCATTCTTGTTAACGGCGTACTCGAACGTGCTTCCTTGGGATTCAAGGGTTTTGGGATTTTGGGTCAAACTGTTATCGAGTGAAAGGGTTTTTTTGTGGCCGGGGAAGTCACTATGTGCATCCTGGAATTCAATGTCGTCTGAGGAGTAGATAGGAGTTTTGAGCAATATAGTTTCACACGTTTGCGGTTGGTCAATGAAAACACTCTAGAGAGATTCAAAAGAAGGAAGTGTCTGATCAGCTCAAGCTCTTTGATCGAAGGGAATGGAATTGAAGTAGGGGCCTCCTTACCACTTCGATGAATATCGCTCTTGAATAGCTCTAGATCGCCGGGGGATGAGGTCGTCCTTTGCAGCTTGGCTGGACCCATGGCGTCGACTGTTGCTGTAGCCTTGCCCAAATCATTGGCAGTATTGGACACTGCGAGGGCTGTAGTACGATGGAGTTAGTTTACATGGTTTTGTGACCTGGGCACCACTGGTGTATTGTGGGTGAACAAGTCGACTGAAACTGCGGAGATGAAAGGTGGGTGCTTACCTGTCAAAATTGAAAATGTGGGAATCATTTGAAGAAGAAAGCTCAGTTGACCGGCATAATCCAGAGTAAAAATGATGTATGAGGGCGTGGACTCACCAGCTGCTCCTTCGCGTGCAGCGGCGGCGTTATGGACTGCTTGGCCAGTTGCGATTGCTCCTGCTACACCAGCAATTTCCATTCTTTTGGCGAGGTGGGAGACGGGCTGAAGATAAGAATTTTGGCTTGAGAGTCCTAATGATGGGGATGCTATTGGTAACGGTGTGGCGTTGATTGATGAGGCACAAAGAATGCATGCTATGATGATGAGCTGGGCAAAGTGAGAACCACTCCTTCGCCGAGTTTTTTGGGTAGACATTTGGTTTGCGTCTTGCCGCTTGGCTTTCGCTGGTAAGGAATGGAAATAAATTTTGTAAGGTGTAATAAAAAAGAGGGTTTCCACAGACTGATGATTAATTAAATATGACGGGGCTATGGGATCGGGCGGTTCAGGGAGACCAAGGACTGGTGCTATATAGAAGTATCAAGTGAGGTGCCACTGCCCATTCTTCGGCGATGGACCTGAGCGTTCCAAGCTGAAGAGTTGGCCATACATGTTTTGAGACAACCCCATGCTCCAGAATTTAGATACACGTCTACTTACCCAATCACCCCACCCGTTTCTTCTTCACATACATCTTCGGTAAAAAGCCAATCTTGACAAAGAGTCAATTAGGGAGAGAAGAACGTATGTACTGCCAACTGGAGCAGAAGTCGAAGGAACCGTTTCATATTTTTGATAATCCCTGCCAGGCCAACAAGCTTGGAGGTGTGTCTGGCTACGAACTGTGGCTGTGGCATAGAGGGGTCCAGTTGTATCCAAAGGGGCACCCACTGGTGGCTGAAGCTCTCGAGCCGGGAGAACTCATGATAGCTGAGATGGAAGTGCCGTGTTGCACCTTGGGGCTGCGCTCCGCTGACTGGGCATGTCCTCTTACATTTTTTACATTCCCCAATCCCGTCATCGGGATAAAGCACATAAATAATGAAAACTTCCATAACACTTCCAACGCCAAGCGGATCGGACTGTAGGGAAGGTTCTCGCAAAGCTTCTCTCTAACAACCGACGAGAATTGGAATGTGAAACGTCGGGTTAGAGCCACTGGCAACATAAATTCCATTCCTTCCTTGCTCCATCAAGTTGAGACATACAATGATGATGATAATCACGCATTGCCTATACTCAATTCGAATTCCACCCTGCACTTCCCGGCCGGATAGAGCCCACGTGCCTCTTCACTGGTCAGGAGCACCTTGAGCCAAGTTGAGGCAATCCCGGAAGCTGGCCCAAGATACGCCTTGACCCGGCAGGCTCTAGAAAAGCTGAAATGGCTGGAGAGTCTTGGTTCTCCTGCTCATTATCTACTTCTCTGATTACCGAAGCTGACATGATTGAGACCGGGTCTCAGTTATTTGGTAGAAATGCTTTCGAGAGAGAAGCAATTTCCAGATGGCAATCAACTTCCGATCCTCAGTCTAAACTGTCACCAAACCACAGCAAATCCCTCGGTTCCTAAGTTTTAGGCGTTCTCCTTCGGTAAGTTTGGAGGGACTGGCTTATTTCACTTAAGCTGTGTGCACCAGCAAGCCAGGGCCGGGGTATGTTGTATGTACCCTCGAAAGCCCCGGATGCACCCACCGTAGTTTTTGAACGCATGAGGCTTGATGAACGCCATTGCAAATCTGGACGGTAAAAATCTCTGGAGCCTTGAGGGAAACAGCCCCATCCTTGGTTAGCTCTGCCAGTCATATCTGGCCTCTGTAGCTCAAAAATAGCTTGCATGGTTGATCAAATCCCGGAATACCATAAGGTTTTTCAGTCAGCTCGTCACACTTATCAGTTGAAAGCTGCCGACGTCTTTCGATGTAAAGCGGTTATCCAATATTTTGCTTCAGCCTTCAATTGTATGTGAGGTTCAGTGAACCTGGCGCATCTCTAGATTAAGTGACTTCTGATCAATTGGCTTTCCATATCCACTGTCATCAATCCATTCTTTGTCTTCTCCAATACTTTGAGGCTCTGAGCGCAAACGATAAACATGTGTATTTTTAAAAAGCATGGCGTACTACAAAGCAGTCCAAGGTCTCGGCGCGGGCTTCTTCCAAAGGTGAGACCACTTGATATCGAGAAGAGGTGGATCACGTTAGCCACCACTCGAATGCTGGCAGACTGAAGCGCTCTCTCACTGTCATTTTTTTACTAGAAACGTACCTAAGTCAGCGGTTAATTGGCTCAAAGATGAGCTCAAGATCATAAGTTAAATTCCTTGACCACAGCCAACCTAGATGCACTACATTGGGTCATCATGAAATCAAGGACTGAAGTACTATCTAGAAAATGGTTATAGCACAGGTGTACTGGGACTAAGGGTTTCGTTATGCAATTCTATTTATTTAACTCAATTGTAGCAGCTTATCGCACTGCGTAATACTTCACATTGTGCACTGATGGCCAAATTGTGATGAAGGAATAGGCCGCGCCATTTTTGTGATCTTTGTGCCCCTCGGGGTGAATATACTCTTATGGACCCTGCTGACTCACAAGCTACCCAACAGTCAGCAATGCTTTCTAGCTATACCTTGCGGCAGCATGTCAAATTTCATATTTATTGTAAATGGTGAAACATATCAAAACTTGGCAATTATTTTTTGAGTTCAACTTTGAAGGATATGACCTATCCATACAAATTATGACCTTTTGGAACGAACCCGTATCACAAAGTGCTCGGACTAGCTCGTGGTCTTTGCCCTCCAATTTCCCCTAGAGGCTAGGTCTCATCTATAAGGCAGTGCCAAATTGATGCTTGGAACCGCAGCTCCCTACAGAATCTCTCTGATGCTTCGGCTCTCTACTAAACTGCCATTTAAGACATGCTCAAATATGAGCCAGCACGTATTGGAAAGTCTTTGAGCTTGAAAGTTGTGTCATTCAATCAACGCTTGCCGCGACAATAATCGGAGAATGCTGCTGAGCGCGTCTATTCAGTATCTCAATACCCCTTGTGATCATGGAAATATTCTGCTCATCGTATCCTCAGCCTTCCAAAAGTGAAGAGGGCTGCACCGTATCTGGCCAATAACAATTCAAGTTACATGTATTAATGACTTTTTGGTCACGCTGCGATCAGTGGGCAGCTGAGCAAACAAACAGAAAAGCGCGTACCGACAAAGGAGCACAAAGGGACAAAGGGGAATGGTGGGATACCGACACAGAAGCAGCATCAGTAGCTGAACCCTCTGACTTAAATAGACTCACTATTCTCGCCTCCTTCCCCCTCGTCCTCCTTCCTCACCATCTTCCACTTGACTTCCCCCTCAGGTGAGAAGGAGGCCGGGCCTACTCTTCAAAGCACCTTCCATACTTCTTCTTCCGGATCTAACACAGTAAAACCCATCCTTGCCCTTCAATTTATCCTCCATCTCTCCCTCCACTAATCAACCAATTAGGAAGCCGGTCTTCCCCACTTGAAAGAACTTTGAAAGCTAATCTTCCGTTATCTCTTCTAACCTGTTAGAAAGACGTCAGTAATAATACTCCTGTCCACTCTTTCTTGCACTTCAACTTTGATGAATCAATTGCTGATCTTCCTTGATATCTTCCCATACCTGAACAGTTCAATCTTTTGCACTCAATGTAAGATCTCTTCAAGTATTCTCAATAAGGGCACGAGATAATTTCTAACATCTCTTATGGTGAATAGCAATACACAAGACTAGGCGAGACAAAATGCGCACCACTCACGAGACAGATCGCCCAATCGGTCCTATCGGAGCTCCAGCGCGTGACTTCAGTCACCACCGCCGGCCACCACCGAAGCCGGTTGCCAAGCCCCGTCCTGCCCTGCCCTCATCAGGATCAGCTCGCCCTCAAGGCATGGTCTTTTCTCCCGATGACCTTCCCCAAGATCTCAAGAACATCGGGGGAAATGGACTTCCTCCAGCTTCTGGCCGTCTCCCTGCTCCCCTCTCCCCCCAATCTCGCGCTTCACGGGCTAAGGGAATCGTCTTTAACGTCGATGACCTTCCTCAAGACCTAAAGGAGCTACAATCCGTACAGGGCACTAAGGCCAACACCGCCTGAATTGATTGAATAAGTCAGTGCTTCACATCTTTTTCTCTGGTTCAAACCAAAGAACAAACAGCTGGCATACGGAAAAATTCTTACCCTTCAATTCTCTTCTTCTAGATTGATTTTTTCCTCTCTTCTTGGAGTTTTGTTGGATCTTTTTTCGTCTTGCTTTCTGTACAATCTTTCTAAAAAAATGGACTTGAACATGGTCTGAAATGATCATACCACTCATGAACTTTTTGCTCTTCTTTGTACTCTATCAGATAGAAGTGACATTTTGTATTATGAACACCTTGTGCCTAGTTTCAAAGGCAGTAATGTATTAATCTAATTTGATGAATAACCTTGGGTTATTTTTTTCACTGCCATACTTGATGAACACCAAACATAATCAATTTCTTTAGGAGATTGAAGACATGGGGGTCCACAATGAATTTCCAAGCATCTCCATTGTCAGTTTTGCCTGGTAATTGATCCTTGGCACCCAGTTACAAAAAAGTCGTAATTTATGTAATCATCAGTTTTTATATGTGAAGCGCAATGTAATGTACATTATCCTCAAACACATTATACTCGGTAAAATCTTGTCAGATTTGTTTGAATCTTGCACAAATAAATGCTGTCTTTTTGATCTCATCCATTATCAAGCCTCAAGGCAATACTTCTAGAAAGTTGTGTTCCACGGTTTTGGTAGCTATATAGGTGATGGGAAATTTGAACTAAACCAATAATCAATTTTTCCCTGTAAGATTGCTCATGACTGACTTCCATCTGACATTATCCTCTTTTTATTTTGTTTTTTTTACATTTTGGATAGGAATACTTGTGTCTATGGCACCTATGGAGTGCATGTAAATTGTGGATGATGATTGATCTCCTACATTGATATTTTTAATGTCTTTCCAAATGTGGCACTGAAATATTTGTTTCTTCCAAGCTCTCAATAGCATTATAGTGATAGTCCTGGGCAAAGCTATGCCACCTGATTTGAAGCAAACCAATTTTGTGAATGGTCCATGAATTGGTCAAATAACCTTTGTGAATAATCATATTCCACAAATTTTGAGGTTTCCAGATGATGTTAAATGCACAAAATTAGATAGATTGTGTGATATTATTTATTTTTTAATCAACAGGAAATGTCTGAATTGAGGTCTCATGTTTGTCAGTGGAGGATGGTTCTTCCAAGCCCATGGTATTTTTTTAGAAAACCATATAGTAAATGAAAAGACTGGTAGATACGAAGTATTGTAGGTATCATTCAATTCATCAGGGATAATTTGATTTGTAAGAAAACCAACAAGGATATTATAGAGGAAAGTAGAATCAAAATGTAGAAGTTTCAAAAAATAAGTATGGGTATTTAGATCCTTGAGTAAAGAGGGGATTGAATTGGTTTGTTTGCCAGTGAAATGCCATAGCACCTGGAAAATGCAAAGGCCTCAGAATGTGTAATTCTTTCTTGGCGTTGAAGGTTTTTTATTTTGCTGATTTGTTTGTTGAATTGACATTCCGCACTTTTTACTTGTTTGTTAACTTGGGTATGGTCAATGATACTGCTGTTGAAGCCTTACATATCTTTGACAGTCAATCCAAAAAAGCACGCCTGTCCTTGAGCCTGATTTTTCCCTGCCAGCAAAGAATACAAAACTGAACATCTTCCACATGGTCCGATGAAAAATGGCAACTTGTTCATCTCTCGTTTTCGGGTCCCCTGAGGATGAGGAGTTGTAGAGTGTTGGGGTGATCCAGCCCCCGTACCCACCCCTGCTGCGCGGTCCAGCAGGCCACCGGGATCGGAGCCGGTCCTCAAAAGACGATCTTGGGGGCTGTACATACACCGGAGCTGTATCAGCTCACACAACGCTTGCGGCTGAAGAAATTATGAGTGCTGCCGCAGATTCGGACCGTCATTTTGCAAGAAACTGCCGGCCGACACCCAACCCACGACACCCGACAGAAGCTCGGAAAGGATGAACGAGATCGAGGAGATGGATGATCGTGACGCACTAGCAAGGCATCAGCTTCAGCATCGAGCAGGTAAGTTTTCCATCAAAATCACCCCCTCTTTCGCCGGCTGATTTGGCTCAAAAAATCCTGTAGACTTTGTCGCAAAGTGCTTTGGACGTCTCGCCGAATGCGACTTCGACCCGGGATCCACTGAAGCCCCTGATCTCTCCATCGGCCGACTGCGTCCAAAGAAATATCTCTTGACTGAGCTACACTCCAGCTTGCTACCTGCACTACGACAGCACGTCATCGGCCTTTGGCAAGCTCTGTCCTACCCACAACGGATGCCGAGAAACGCCGCGCACATCCTGCACTACGTGATAGGGAGCCAACCGGAACTCGAGATGATTGTGGATCGGATAATTTGGGTCATCAATGATCTCATTCCCGGACGAATACAAAAATCAAACCAAACAAACGACCAGCACTTCAAAGAGTTCAAACAATATAGACTTCACGGCTTAGACACCTCCGCTAGGAGCGAAATGCAAAATGAGCTAGCTTCCTTTTTTACGCAATGCCGTGGGGCCTCCGAACAACTCATGCTCCCAGCCGGCTACCAGATTTACGTACAACCTTCATCTACTAACGACCTCCTTCGGTCAATCGATTCCGTCATCAGATGGTCCAAGGGTCCCGAATTACATTTCATTTATGATCATTGGAAACTCGCAATGAAATCGATGGAAAAAACGTTGGACGACCTGTTACTTGCGATGGCACCAGAACACGCACTATACAGCGAACCATTCACCGAGCTTGCTCAAACATTCATACCAGTCATCAAACTATCCAAGTTGTTCTTTAGAAAGATGACGACCGATGGAATGAGCCAAAAGAATTTACCATTCTATACCGAAATGTCTTCCGACCAACTCAGCTCGTTGAAACGATCAGCTGACGTAATCACAGATAGTGTCAGCCATTTATTTTTTTGCTTACCAAGATCTGACGAGAGGCACGCAATCTCTAGTGCTACAATTTTCACCGGTGAAATCAAGAAGATCTTGACTCGATTTCAATCTTGCTTGTTGCTAGTAGACCTTTATATTATACCTAGATGCACAGATATCAATGTTTGTTCATCTCCAACTTCCCTCAAAACATGGATTGTCACCTGGAACACTTTACTTTACCAAGCTTCTCACAATTCTATCCAAGCTTGTGAATCAATTGTAATAAATTAAGCAGTAAATGTTCTTATTTAGAGTTTCAGGTTTAGAACATTAAATATTTGAGTTTTTAATGCTTTCCCTTTTTCACTTCCTCAGGATGAATCCTGCTAGGTGCAATAACTTCAACTCTCTGTGTTCATATGGAATCATCCCTTCACTGACTCTCAAGCACAATGCATAGATGGTCATTCTCCTTTTCAATTTAATTTAATTTATCCATTTGCACACATCCCAATCTGAATCTCAATGGACCTCTTCATTTATCTTGATACTCTTGATTGCAATAAAATTTCCAGACCAGGGTGATTGGGGGTTCATAGTGAAGATCTGGCAGGGTACAATCAGCAGCTGCTCATGACAAGATGGCTATTTGGGTCTGAAGATCTTACATCTGATCTTTTGAATAGCCAAGATTTTTGCTATTTTCTTGTAAGCTTTCTCTGTAGTTGAGATAGGCTGATATTTTTCAGCATGAGATACTCTCAACCAACTTACATTCAAAGATAAAACTCAGGTGAAAATTGAGATTGAAGGGGGTAACCCCCAAAGAAAAAATTTTGAATTTGTATGTGAAGTGAAATCTGTCTGCTAGTCTACATTTCTAAAAGCCTGGAAGGTTGTGTTTCAATATTGGAGGACTTCCTGTCAATATCTGTGGGTTCCCCAGAACTAATTTAGAGCTTTGGAAACCAATTTTTTGTGCAAGAATCTAGGGTTTTTGAGTTTAAATTGTCTTCTATGAGGGCTCCAGTCTGCAAAGGAAGTCCTCCATTAATGCCTTAATTGATCCTGCCTTCTGAAAATCACACAGCCAGACTCATACCAGCAATTGTTTCTGCTTCCAGAGCTTTTTTGGCCAAAATTCTTGATAAATGGCCCTGCAGAGGACTTCTTACAGATCATAGAAATTTGTCACCAGATTTTCTTGACTAAGTTTCTGTTTCTGTTTATTTATTTTGGAAAAGATTATGAATTGAGAATGTGTTTGGAGACTGGTTGAACTTGATTGGCAGCCACTATCCTGGGTGGTGCTTCAATGAACCTTTCAAATGAATTGCTCCTGGTCTTTCCCGAAGACAGGATTTTTTTTTCTGTCCTGGTGACAAGAACCTTCAAGGAATTTGAGAAAATCACAGAAGCAGAAAAAAGATAAGAATTAATATTTTAGACTGTCAGTTTTGAATTCTGGTGGCATGGAAAGCTGAAATGGTCTGAGAGGTTTTCCTCTCCTGCTCATTATTCACTCCTCCAATTTCACATGCTGATGTGATTGAGAATTGGTGTTAATTTCTTCCTAGTTCTAATCAAGCCCCAAATCCCAGTAAATCAATCCCTTGATCCCTGTGTTTGTCACACTACACCACGGGTTCTGGTGGACGAGTGCTTGACGGAAGCAGTTCCGTCAGCTTGACCCATGCCGCTCCGACCAAAATTTTGGGGTGCTTCATAGCGGGGGGCGTAATACCCCGCGGTCGGCTTGACCCTTCAACGTCGGCTTGCCAGCGGTTGCCTGGCAAGCTTGCGGCGGCTTGACAGCATTTTTTCATTTTGACAGTGGCTGCCCAGCAGCGCGCTGCAGAAAAAAAAATCAGCTTGGGGCTTGAACACCCAACCTAGGCTCACAGCATCTTAAGCTCACTGCACGGTTGCATGCTGAGGATTGGAGAGCTTATCCAACTATGCCAATCATATTATACCGTCCGCCTTGGTTTTGCATACAAATAGATAGAAAATTTCAAATTGCATATAGGATTTTTGTCTTTGAGTTTTTTTTCTCCAAGTTTTTTTTTTTTTTTTTTTTTTTTTTTCTTGAGGTGGCCACAAGTTTTTTGGCATGAAAAGGGTGTAGAAAAAATGTCAAAAAAAAGTTTTTTTTTCTTCATTTTCAGACATGGGGTCAAGCCGACGGTGGGACTTTTTGACCCTGAGGTCAAGCCAACGTTGGAGTTACAGCTTTCCTACCCAAAATTGACGTTGGCCAGACAAATCCGGCGGGATTGCGTAAAAGGGGTTAAGCCCGACCAGTGCTTGACCGCGGGGTCAAGCCGACGGACTGCCATTTGCAAAACTCAACCTGTGGTGTATGTGTTATCTAGCTTTTCTCCAGTCCCGTCCCATCGTGTCAGAGCATATCCACCCGGGGAGGTAAAACCGGGTTGCTACAACCCCGCAGTAGCAACTCTGATTTTACATATAGCAACCCGGGCGGCTTTTCTGCCCACCCGTGGTTGCTAAATCTTCATATTTCCATCTGTGAATCCTCATTCCCCGATAACCCGTCAAACATTCATCCATTTCCCCCGATCTATCTCATCTCTCCAATCACACATCTCCCTATATCTCTCCATTTCCAAAACCACAATCAATCCACCCCAATGGAACATCGACTCCTCCAATCCATCCTCGAGACTCAAGCTGCCGCCCTAGCAACCGCAACCAATATCCAGACTGTTGTAACAGACACGATCCATTCTCCAGGTCCGATTCGGCCTCCAGCGCACGACGAGGTTTATTCATGTGAATAGCCTCAACGTTGATAGCAGCTGAATGAAAGATGAAGCAACATCGGTTGTATCAGAGATTGTGTAGAAAAATAAAATAAGAAAGATGAAAAAAAGAATCTTACCAAGCGATGGGTCAATTATTCCAGCCATGTCTCTTGGTTGAAGTTGTCTTTGTATTGAAGCGTGGATATGTATGATTCTGGAAGCCGGAAGTTTGGGGGATGAGTTGAACGAGATCGGTGGGATATGGTGTAGGCAATTCGGGGGGACAATGTGGAATGAAGATGAAATTTCCAGAGGAGTTCACAAAAGAAACACCAGACCTTTCATGGAGATGTGGAATTTCACAGGTGCTAATGCGTTGCTCAAGCGTTGCTACATGTGGCAACTTAACAAGGTGTTTAACCTCCGGAGGTTATTTTTTTTCTTGTTTGGCACCCCGGGTGGGTGGTGATTTTTAGGTTTGGGTTGCTAAACCCGGGAAATCAACCCGGTTTAGCTCCCGCGGTGGATATGCTCTCAGAAAGCGGCTAGGCCTCAAGTGCTAGATCTGCGGGACCCCCTCCCCCCACGTAATTCGCGCCAGCCTGGCCATACCAGGCCCTTCGATCGAGGGGCTTATCTGGCTTATCCAAGTTTAGCGATGCCCTAGCTTATTGCGGATGCTCTCACAAGTCCCTTCTCCCAAAACTTCGCCAGTGAGCCAGGGTTGGGGTATTGTGTGCATACCCTCGAAAGCCCCACATGACTAGCCCGCTTTGTACCCTCGATGCCCTGCATGAATCGCCAACCGCCGCCTGCAAAACGTATCTTCGATTCCGGGCAATGAATGCTGTACTATGGCCACTCATTGCTGAAGAGTTAATATCTCTTGAGAGGAACAACCTTAAATTTGGAGCTCTACCAGTCATATCTGGCCCCTGTAGCTCAAGAGTAGCTCGTATGTTCACTTTTATGCCCTCGAAAGCCCCGGACTCGGTCGTCGCCATTGCAAATCTGAAAGGCCAAAATTTCTTGAGAGGAACGACCTCCACCTTGTTTAGCTCTAACAGTCATGTCTGGCCTTTGTAGCTCAAAACGATCTCAGATGCTCACTCCAATAGATTTTTACAATCAAGTCGTGACCCATACTAGCTTAAGACCAGCGACATATTCCAATTCAAAAGGGATGTCTGATGTTGCGGCTTTATCATATCCAGAAGCTTCAGATTGCATCTCCAAACTGACTTCTGATCGATTGGCGCTCGTTATCCAATCTCACCGATTCATCCTTTATCCAATATTTTGAAGCGATGGGCCTAACGGTGACTGTTATTGTTTACGAACGGATGGGATGGTGTAAAACTCAATCATTTAGACTCTTTTTCTAGATGTGACCTTCTTACCGACCACGTGATGTCAAGGATTTTGAGAAGTGGATCGAACTAGCTACCACTTAAGACCCGGGAAACTGAACAGTTTTATGAAGATCACCTCATGCTGTAAACAAACATGAATTAACGGATAATATGCTCAGCGATGAGCTCGTCATGGACCTGGCGTATCAAATTCTTCGACCACAGTCAACCCTCATGCATCGCATCCATGAATGCAGGACCAGTGCACGACCCGGTATGTAAACCATTCAAGATCAGTTGTGCTGGGAGTAAAAGTCTCGTGATGAGATTCTATTTATTGAGATGAAAGTGCAGTACACCAGCCCGTTGTGCTGCCTAGCACTTTCAGACTGTGCACTGTTGGTCAAGTTTTCATTGAGCAATAGGCCACACCTTTTTGTAATCTTTCCTCGATGCCTCAGGCTTAAGTGAAAACCTGTGAATACTTGGCTAATTCATCAGCTGCCCTGTGAAACTGTGTTTCAGTGAAACACGTTGAATAAGGTGGTGCACGACTGAGCAAAGAGTAGAAGATGAGATCACACCCGAATCAAGTCCTGTGCTAGTCAAACTACCCCAGATGTTGAATAGAACACCTACTGTTCTTTCCATCACATTCCTTTTGCCCCAATGGAATAATAAGAACAAATCTTTACCACCACTTTGACACGATCTCTTGTAATGTAAAAGGTAGAGCGTTCCTCCTCCCAGAGACTTTTCTCCCAGTACGAATTATCAACACGAACGCAGGGTAACTATAATCTGAACTCTCAATAGCCCATAGCCATCTTTTTCGTCGATAAAAAAAATAACTGCACAGCGAGCCCCATTGATAATTTTCACCATACTTAAACCCTTCCACAAGATCTTCTATATCCTCACGGCACTCTTCCACGATCCTATCTCCTCGACTTGACTCCTTCTATACTAGTTACCCGTCACCGTTACCTAGTCTGTTATATATCCTCTCATCCCTCAATACCCTGCTGCGAGCTATAATCGAGATTAGGATTACCCCTCTTGTTACTGCGAAGCTAGTGTAAGCCTTATTGATCATCCTAAGCTGCTAAAGACAGAATCTTATCAGAAATCTGATTGTCGTCCTTTTTCTTGTGTTTTAGTCCACGGCTACAGCACCACGGCGATATCCGTAATTAGCATAAGCCTGATACTTGTGCTGCAAATACTGCCGGCCGTCGATCGACTCAAGACGCTCCACCCCAAAGAAAAGATCGGAAAGCATGAGTGGACTCGAAGATATGGATGGACGCGAGGCACTAGCAGCCGATCAGATTCTGCATCAAGCAGGTAAACGTTTTATCAAAACCCTCAATCTGAGCTTCCAAGAAGCATGGACTGATTTAACTCGCAAAAATCCTCTATGTAGCATTTGCCGCAAATACCTTCGAACGCTTCGGCCAGCTGGATTTCGCTTCAAGATGCGATTTAGTTGCAGATCTTTCTATCGACCGACTGCGCTCAAAGAAGTTTCTCTTAATCAAACTACGCTCTGGCCTGCTACCTCAGCTACGGCAACATATTATCAGTCTTAAACAAGCTCTGTGGCATCCAAATTCGGTGCTGAGCAACCCGACTTGCATCCTTAAGTTCGTGATAGAGACCCAACCGAAACTCGAGATGACTCTGGATCGAATACTTTGGATCATCAGTGATATCATTCGCGGGCGCATAGAGACAACAAACCAAACAAACGATCAGCACTTTAAAGAGTTCAAACCCTATGTACTTCGCGGCTTGGAGTCCTCAATCAGAAACGGATTGAGAAGCGCCCTCAATTTCTTTTTTGATGTTTGCCGTCAGCTCGCGAGACAAGTCGTTTTCCCTGGCATCAAGCAAACTTACACAGAAACTTCTGTTGACGAGCTCCTGGAGTCGATCGAGTGCGTCGTCAGATGGTCAAAGGGATCCGAATTGCATTACATTTATGACCAATGGAAACTCGGAGTGCAATCCTTTGATTACACATTGCGTACCCTATTGCTTGGTGCCAACCCCAAAAACGGATTTTACAGCGAACCCGCCTGCAAGGCGGCTCAAAAATTCATACCATTAATCAAATTATCCAAGTTGTTTTTCAAAAAGCTAACGACCGATGGAGTGGCCAAAAAGGATTTACCATTCTGTACAGAGATGTCTTCTCAACAACTCAGCTCCTTGGAAAGGTCAGCTGAAGAAATCGAAAGAAGGATCTCGAACCTAGTGTTCCACTTGCCAAGAGCTTTCCAGGACAATGAACCATTCCCTGTTCAAGATTCAATCAAGCAAATCAAGGCCCTCATGAATGAATTTCAACCTTGTTTATTGCTTGCAGCTCTTTATTATATACCTAGATGCACAGAGACCAACGTTTGTTCATCGGAAATTTCCCTCAAAACTTGGATTGTGACTTGGAACACTTTGTTTCATCAAGCGACTCACAATGCTATTGAAATCTGTGAATCCTTTGAAACAGATTGAGTTAGCTTTTTGACGTTCAAATATTCTAGTTGTTAATGTTATAAACCTCTTCACTTTTACACAATAAATCCTGCTACATCTCATAATTTCAACTCTTTTTTTTGATCATCACTTCACTGACTTGTTTAACACCATGCATAGACAATGCAACTTCATTTTTTCATTTGATCCATTCACATACATACTCATCTGAATCTCAATGGACTCCTTTCCTTTGTCTTGAAATTCTCAATTGAAAAAGAATTTCCATACCAGGATGATTGTGGGTCCATGTTCAAAATCTGGTGGTGTACAAGCAGTTTTTGCATATAAAATAAGGGGCTTGGAAAAACAACTCCTGTTTTTTTGCCAAAAACTCCCAACAACTGTCAGCAGATGTCCATGGGGAGTCTTCTTCTAAAGTGTGGATTCTGGGAGTTGTCCACCCACAATTTTTCTTCTTATAATACCACAAAAACAAAGGAGTATAATGAGATATTTCTAGCTATTCTGATTCATCCAAATTCACACAGATGATGAGCTTCGCTCTTCCAGTTTTGAATTACTTTTTTCAAAAGACAATCTTGAGATTCCCAACCATCTGGTTCAACCAGACTGAAAGACTTGTAAAATTTACCATAATAAATGAGTTTATGGATGTCCTCAAGTAGACCTTCCCAAAGCAACACTGGCCACAATTGTGGGTTGTCTAGTGGTAGATTTGAAATATTGTAAGGCTCAAGTTGCACAATGAGAACTTGCATTGCCTCGCAGATATGGCTTAATTGATTTGAAAAATTGCTACAGTTTTGCTCATTTGAGTCAGAATTCATGAAAGGTGTGCTAGGAGCCCATTGGGAAATCATCGGCTTTGCTGAGTCCAATATTGGTTTACTACAGTACTTGTACCATTCTTGACATCATATTGAAATAGTTTTAGGGTAGCCTCATTCCAAAATTCATCAATTAGAGTCAGACAATTGGCTGCTGTCCATTTTCTCGGATGATGTGAATTTTGCATCAGTGAGAAAGTTTTCTTTTGTTCAAAGACTAGAGCCATGTATTGAAACAACTGGGAGATATCATTACAAGCTAACATACAAAGTAGGAAGAGGTCAATCTGATTCTTCCTCATTGACCAAAAGGAATTCCTTCCGGTCAGTGAGGTTTAGCTTCCTCACTGACCGAAAGGGGTTCCTTCTGTTCAAGTGGGCGCAACTTTCAACCCCCCCCCCATGCATGAGGGGTGGTTTGGGAAGCCAACTCCCAAAAATAAAAAAAAAAAAAGAATGGGTGGACAACTCCCATAATCTGCTCTCAGTTTAGAAGACGACTCCCAATGGACGTCCGCTGAAGGTCGTTGGGAGTTGTTGGCAAAAACACAGGAGTCATTTTTTCCAAGCCCCTAAAATAATCATATGGGTATTTGGATATGAATATTTTTGGAAAGTCTTTCCTAGTTTCTTAACTTCATCAGTCTTTTTCTGACATTAAGACAGGCTGGTATATTTTAGAATTTCATACTCTCCACCAATCTGCCTGGAATGTACATTCAATTTTACAATTCAGGTAAAAATTTGCATTGGGGCGGGGGGGGGCTTGTCCTCAGGAAAGAATGTTAGGCTTTCATGTGAAATGAAATTTTTCTGATATATTTCTACTCTTAATGCTGCCCCATTTACCCCCCTCTTTGGTCTAAGACTTTGGGGGGAGAGAAAATCATGACTGATACTTCATCACATTGGGTGTGACAGTGGGGTCAAATAATCTGCCTTTCAAAGATGAAACAGTCAAATGCTCATCTTTTCTGCTTCATACTAGTGCTTGGGTCAAAATGCTCAATGAATCACCCTGCAGAGTTAATCAGATTTTCTTGACCAAGTTTCTGTTTTATTTATCCATTTTTGAAAGGAATGGAAATTGTGATTTTGCCTGCTTGAATTGTATTTGTATTCACTATTCTCACTGCTTTAATTTTGGTTCAGCTATATCTGAAGGGGAACTTACTTGTGACTGAAATCAAATAAAAATGGTGGGCCTTGGGCCTGAACCACCAGACTGGTCACCTTTATGTCAAAGGTGCCATTGCCACGCCCCTGACCTACCAAACTTGCCAAACTCTTGACAGATTTCATTGGAGGGAGTCCCCCCCCCTCCACCCTAGTTGAACCAGGGGAGCCAGGCTACATATTGTCACCACCAAAAACTAATTCAATCAAGATGTGTGGAAAAAAATGAAAAATTGGACAACAAGCATACCAACAGCCAGTTATAACAGCTTGGAGGGTGATGCCAAAGCTTCCAAAAGTAGCAGCAAATGGAAGCTTTGGTCCACCCCCGCAACCATCATCTGGGCTGCTAGAGAAAAAAAAACTTGTGGAATTCTGAAGTTGGTTCCAGGTTGTGCATCAGCAGGACCATTGGAGTTTCTGTTAGTGGGTAATTTTGAAGATGCTCCTGACCCTACCAGTTCAACTAGGGTACAGGTCTCCCTTCAATGGGAGCTGGAAACTATGGTGGGGCAGAGGTGTGGTAATGGCACATTAGTTGTGAAGGTGGTCAGGGTGGCATTTGAACGCCTTCCAATTGCCTTTTTGGGAAAAAATGGTGGACCAAAACCTCCATATGAGATAGATGGGCAGAGATGGGAGTGCTGTATTTCATCTTAGCAATACAAGACTGGCTTTGAGGATATATGCTCAAATTCTCCAATCCTGGCTGCAAGGGAAAATTACATGTACAAGACTTCAAATGATCAAGTGGATTGAAATCCAAGGCATTTCCGCACAAGATTTTCTACTAGCAATTGCTGAAAATGGAAAAATCATATGTTATGCCAGAGTCACAGGCAAAATAAATCCCTTTGTCAATCAAATTGAAACACATGACAATGATAATTACAAGTTCATTTCCAAGCCAGCCAGGAAGATAGCATACCTTTGATTCTTTTCTGGTAACAAGGAGGACAAGAATTGATATTTTTTGACTCTAGGTTTCTGGTGGAACAGAAAGCTGCAATGGTTCAAGATTTTTTTCTCCAGCTCATTATTCACTCCTCTGATTCCCCATGTTTTTTGATTGAGCCTGGGGCTGAATGAATTCTTGATTCTAAACAATACCCAAATCACTCAATTCCTGTGTCTTCACACTATGTGTTCCCTAACTTATTCTTAGTTCCATTGCCTCAGAGGGAAATCAGCTAGGTACAGAGCACCCGACGAAGAGTGTACCACGGGGACGCAGGATCTCTTCTAGACTCTCCATTTGAGAGGCTTCGGTAAGCTCGGCGTCCTGCAGTAGATTTGGAGAGGCTGGCTGATCTAACTTAGCGGTGCCAGTAAGCCAGGATCGGGGTATTTGTGTACCCTCGAAACCCCCGCAAGCGGTACCCGCCGGATGAAAGTAGCTTCGATCCTCGGTAATGGCTTGATCGCCGCCATTGCAAATCTGAACAGACAAATAAAATATCTTGAGAGAAACGACATCAACCTTGATCAGCTCTAAAGTATGTACCAGTCATATCTGGCCTTCGTAGCTCAAGATCAGCTTGCATGCTCACTGCCATAAACTTTTGCAGTCAAGGTGTCACTGTCACCTATACCAGGTTAAGGCTATCAATATCTTTCCATGTAGAACGGCTGTCTGATGTTGCAGGTCCATCATGTTCAGTGAGGTTCAGTGAGCTTAGTGTATCTCTCAAAAGACTTCTGATCGATTGGCTTTCGCTATCCAATGTCACCGATCCATTCTTTTCCATGCCCAATATTCCAATAATTTGAAACTATGAGCCTAACGATGACTGTTGTTGTTTACGAGAGAGCTTAAGCAACGGAGGGCCTGGTTTAAAATTCAATTAATTTAGCCTCAATTTCTAGACGTGGGCATCACTTCAGGCGGTTATACCAGGTGATATTGAGAATCTTGAGAAGTGGCTCGAATTAGCCGCTCGGAAGACTGGACAGCTCTTCATTTTTTGATCTAAACGTACATAATTTGATGGATGATAAAATCAAGGATGAGCTCACCATGGGCCTATCGCATCAGATTCTTCGACCACAGTCAATCCATAATCATATGCATCGCATCTCGGTAATCATCAAACGTGGGACCAGCGTACGACCTGGTTAATCATTTAAAATTAGTTGTGGTGGGAGTAAAGGTTCCTCTATGAGATTACCAGCCTGTTAAACTGCCTAACAGATTCAGACGGTGCACCGTTACCCAAGTTTTGATCGAGGAATAGAACGCGCCTTCTTTATAACCTTTAATTTGTGATTTTTCTGGTGGTCAAATTACTTTTGAAAGCCTGCCTGATTCATCAGCTTCCCGCGAGTCGATAATGCTTTTCAATTTTACCTTCCGGCAAATGAATTCCGGTAACGTTTTTACTCTGGCGCATAGCCAACAAGCCACCACAACTCGTTTTAGCGGCGCGGCCACATTCTTTGAAAGCAATTAGGGTGTGCTGTTCAAAAGTTGACATATCAAGCCTTTGTTTGAGCGATCACCACCAGCTCTATTGAGAAAAACCCGATCAGTGGTTTAGTCAAGATAAGTAGGATCGTGTTTTAACTATAAAGAATTTAAATCGTTTCACGGTGCGCTCTAAATAACCATCCCACTTTCCCATAGATTTCAAAATAAAAACATGTCACAGAGTGGAGGACTTCCCGTCGGATCTGGGGCCCTCGCAGAAGTCGGTCTAGACCCGAAAATTCTTGATTCTCGCAGAGAAATTTGAATTTCGAGCCTCTAAACCGGCTCTGGGAGACCCGCAGATGTTGACGGGAAGTCCTCCAGTAAACCAAAGACCTATTTGCCTTTGCCTTCAAATTTCCATCATATTCCAACTTAAGACACAACATATGTAGTTAATATTTTGGACGAAAGCTCTTCAGAGAGCCTCTCCAATGCTTTGGCTCTCTGAAAAACATACAATTAAGACATGGTTAAGATGCCATCCAGCATGTAGCAGAAAGTCTTTGTGTTGTGAAATTGTTGCATTCAAACGATACTCGCCGCGGTAGCGGTCACAGAAAACCGGCCAACGCTTTTATTCAGTAACTCGATGCCCTTTGTGATCACGCACATATTCTGCTCACCGCATACTCAGAGTGAAAGATCCCAAGCGTGAAGAGAGCTTCACTGTGTCTGGCCAATCACAGTGCAAGTTACGCGTATCCACTATTTCTTTGTCACGCTGTAATCGGTGGGCAGCTGAGCAAACAAGCAGAAAATCGCGTACCGACAAAGGAGCGTGAAGGGACAAAGGAAAGTAGTAGTATACCGACATAGTGGCAGTAGCAGCAGCAGCTCGATCATCTGACTTAAATACACTCACTGTCCTCACTTCCCTCCCCCTCTTCCTCCTTCCTTACCCTCTTCCACCCCCTCAAGTGATGACAAGGCCCGACCTCCTCTTCAAAGCGCTTTTCCATCCCTCCCCTCCCTGACCTGATACAGCAGCACCTATCATTTGCCTTACACCCATTATCCCACTCCCTCCCTTCATTAAGCCCTTAGGAAGCCGGTCTTCAACACTTTTAAATAATAGTTACTCTTTCGCAGTCTTTTCTCACCTCTAACAAAAGAGTAAGTAGTCAAACTCCTGCCCAATGCCTTTGCTCGCTTTTTGCTCTTGTCGAACAATCACTAAAATTCCTTGATCTTTTACCAGCCCTTAAGAAGAAAAGCTCCTGCGCATAGGTTGGTTCTCTTCTTGAACCACATTCTCGATAAAACTATGAGGTATTCTCTGACATCCCTTGTGATTTTTGACAAAACAGAAGACCAGTCGAGGCAAAATGCGCACTGTTCACGAGTCAGATTATCCAATCTGTCCTATCGGTGCTCCGGGGCGTGACTTCAGCCACCACCGGAGGCCACCACCGAAGCCGGTTGCCAAGCCCCGTCCTACCCTTCCCTCATCAGGATCAGCTCGCCCCCAAGGCATGGTCTTTTCCATCGATGATCTTCCCCAAGATCTGAAGAATATCGGAGGAACTGGACTACCTTCAGTTGCCAATCGCCTCTCTGCTCCCCTCTCCCCCCAAGCTCGAGCTTCACGGGCAAAGGGCGTGATTTTCAACGTCGATGAACTTCCTCAAGACCTTAAGGAACTCGCAGCGGCTCATGCTACCAAGGCTAAGCCCACTTGAATCAACCAAACAAGTCAGTCCTTCACAAATCTACTCTTATACCAAAAAAACATCGACTCTTATACTGATCAAATCTTACTTTCCAATTCCTCCTTGTAGATTTCTTGAGCTTTATTCCTCTGTTCTTGAACTTTCCTTTCAATTTTTGTTCTCGCTTTTTGTGTACAACCTATAGAAAATGGCTCTGGATATTTTCTTGCTTTATCATATCACTCATTACAAGCCTTTCACTCTTCTTCATACTGTATCTGATAGAAACTAAATTTTGTATCGTATCCAACACCTTTTGCCTAGTTTCAAAGGCAGCAATCTGTCTAATGAATTTTAATGAATGAAAGTTGCGCTCCTTTTCCGAATCCCTGCTTTGTAAGCGCAAAGTAAAATTGATAAATAAAGGATTAGAACCAACCCAATCCAACTCGAAGAAAATAGCATAATCTTGTTTGTCTCATGAAGGTTCTGAGATGTACAGCAATGGACCTCATCATTCTACATTCAATGACAGAAAGTTAAGTTTTGATATCATCAAGGAGCAATTTCCCAACTCACTTGACACTTGTGCATTACAATTTACATGTTTATTGTATTAGGATCACATCCACATATTTGCCATGAAACCTTCATCAAATTTTGTCTTCCAATGTGTTAGCTATTATCTGATAGTGTGGACACTTAACAAAAAAGAATGAGGGAATCAGACGGGTTTTTCTATGCATTATTTATGTTTTGAACAGGAAAAAGTTTTGATTTTCCAAATCCTTCGACCGATTCTCATGTGGTCCTGGACAACTTATCAGTTATCTACGGAAACAAATAAACTTCGGGGTCTTCCTGGTCAGAAAGGAACCGTTTTTTTCTTTGCTGTTGTGGCGGCAAGAACTTCCATGTTCCTGTTCACCGGAATCCCAGAAGCTTCAAGCAAAGTGCTTTCCCAGTAGACTCCAAGTTCCTGGTGGAGTAGAAAATCCAAATTCCTGGAGGAGTTCTTTTCGAGTTTTCTATTCCTCCTCGGGTGCCTCACAATCATGAAATTGTAGTTTATGGAGTCTCCACTCTCTTGGCTTGCATCCTTTTGGGAAGGGGGCACTCAGATGCCAACGAGGTATCCGGGTCTAAAACTCAACCAAATTCTGCGATCCTTGCGCTCGTCGCATGTCGCCGCTCCCTTCGGTAAAGTTGGAGGCGCGACCTGGCGCGACAACCAACAGCCTCGCCTGAGTCCCGCACCAGTGTGAATGATGCATGATGCCTTGACTCTCGACAATGAAGGATTCATCATTTTCATTACGAATCTCAACAGTTAAAATACCTGAAGAAATACGACCTTGCTAATGGTTGCCTCTGCCAGGCATATCTGGCCTCCGTATGGCTCAACATTGCCTTGCATGGGTATCACCATATATTATATCTTTGCAATTGGCTTTTGACATATGTATGTAACCCAGTTGAAGGACACCGACGTTTGATCTTCAAGAAGACCAATTGAGCCGCTAGTGAGAGGAACCCACCGCAGGCTCAGCGTATTATCCAATGACCAACTTCAGTGTAGATCGGGCGTTTACTGTTGTACTTCTCCTCCCATTCAGTGAACTTGCGACATCTCTAAAGTGACTTCAGATCAATCGACTTTTGCTATCTGCCGTCACCGATCCATTTTTTGCCTCTTCTAAGGGCATAAGGCTCTGAAGCAAAAACTGGCGTTAATTTTTCGAGAAAACTGAGCCTATAGCAACGGAGGAAAAGCTATACAAAGCAATTCATTTATCACCTTCAATATCTAGACGTTAGGTTAGATTCCGATGATAGGTCGGACAATTCATCCAAAGCTCGAATCGTGGACCATTGGGCAGCAGTTTCAGCAGGATTTATTGTTAGAAGGGTACACAAATCAATTAATTGATGATGAAGTCAGGGAAGAAAGATCATGCATGAAGTTCTTTACCCGTACTATAATCGAACCACGTCCACCAGATATCTTTGATGATCAAATTAAGAACCAAAATGTACCAGTTGAACCATTCAAGCGCCGGTGTGCTCTGAAATGTTCCTTTCGGAAATTTTATCTAAATAACTGGATTACAGCAACTTAACACACTGTCTATCAGTGCACCTTTCGCCAAATTTTGATTAAGGAGTTGGCTATGTCTTTTTTATGACCTTTGCGTCCTTCTGAATTGTTAATTTACCCTTGTAGACTACTTGACTCATTGGCTGTTGAAGATTCCCGGATGCTTTTCTGTTTTCTTTATGAGGAGAATGTCTTGAGGCAACACTTGCCCTTGTATACTTAATTGGCTCAGTAAATTTTGACGAGGCACCGATGGATTGTCATGTTGCCCGACACTGACTTGCAAGCTGACCAGCTTTGTGTAACCAGTTAGAGTATGAAGCCTCAAAAGTGAGATCACGCCTGGACTTAACCAATTTTATTCATCACTGTTAAAACAAGTCGATCTGCTGCACTTGTGTCAAGAGGGGTAGAAATTTTTGCCCTTCTATTACGAATACTGAATTCAAATATGATCACATTATATTTATCCTGCCTATCACCAAATCGTAATCAAAGCATCATGATATTGACACTTGGAACGGCAGCTCTCTGGAGAGCGCTAGTACATAAATCAAACTGTGTAATGCTGCTGATCTTCTCCAATTCGTGGGCTCTCGAAGAAATAGACAATCAACAAATGAGCCAACGTTCAATACATAATATGTAAGCTTCAATTCTGTGCTATTCCATCGATACTTGCCGCGATAGCGATCGGGAAATGACCGTGGACGGTTCTGTTCAGCACTTTCATTCCCTTTGTGTTCTCCTATATGTAATTATACTCACCGGATACTCAGCTTGAGCTGTATAGAGTGCTTCGCTGTATCTGTTCAATTGCAATTCACTTTTCTGTCACGCTGCGATCAGTGGGCAGCTAAGCAAGCAAATAGAAAAGCGCGTATTGACAAAGGAGCACAAAGGGACAAAGGGGATGAGTAGGGCAGCAGCATATTGGTAGCAGCAGCAGCTGAGCCGTCTGACTTAAATAAAGCACGGTTTGACGGCACACTTCACTTCCCCTCGTCCTTCTTCCTCACCCTCCTCCACTTGACTTCCCCCTCAAGTGAGTAGAAGGCCCGACCTACTCTTCAACGCGCCCATCCTTCTCCTTCCTGCTCTGATACAGTAGAACCTATCCTTGCCCTCCAATTTCTTCACCTTCCCCCTTCCCTAATCAACCACTTCGGAAGCCGGTCTTCAGAAATTTAAAAAACTTCAAGAGTTACTCTTCCCTTTTTCCACCTTTACCAAAACCGTAAGTAGTGGCAATCCTGCACTCTCTTTCTGTCGCATTTCCCTTTCATCTAACAATCGCCGCAATTTCTTGATGTCTTACCAGCCAGGAGAAATGTGCCCTGTTCACGAGAAAGACCACCCGATCTGCCCTACCGGTGCCCCATCCCGGGACTTCAGTCACCACCGGAGGCCTCCGCCGAAGCCAGTTGCCAAGCCCCGTCCTACCCTGCCCTCATCAGGATCAGCTCGCCCACAAGGCATGGTCTTTTCTCCCGATGACCTTCCCCAAGCTCTTAAGAACATTGGTGGAACTGGACTACCTCCAGCTTCCGGTCGCCTTCCAGCTCCCCTCTCCCTTCAAGCTCGAGCTGCACGGGGAAAGGGAATTGTTTTTAACGTCGATGAACTCCCACAGGACCTCAAGGAACTACAATCGGCTCAAGGCAACAAGACCAACGCCGCTTGAATTAATCAACCTAGTCAGTCCTTCTTTGCTTCTCTCTTATATCAACCCCCCCCCCCCAAAAAAAAAAAAAAATGCTAATATATCTATCAAATCTTCCTCTTACTAGATTTCGTCATTCTTCTCTTCTCAAATCCTTCTTTCATTTCTATACTATCTTTCTGCTATCTTAATTTATGATTCGACTCATCCATAACCCTTTCACTCTTCTTTGTATTGTATCACTATTAACTTACATTTTGATTGTGTTCTCTACACCTTGTGCCTAGTTTCAAAGGCATCCATCTATATCCTTAACACCTTGTGCCTAGTTTCAAAGGCAGACATCACTTGAATCAAATTTAATCAATAACATCACACTTTTTTTTCAATGTCATGCTCCATGAAAAGACACTCTTTTCCCCAAAATTGAATATTGTATTACAAGATTCTAATCATCAAACATCCAATCAAATTGCAAGATAATTTCTGTCTGTAAGGAGTTCTACAATGTGAGCTTGAACTTAGAGCAACAACTGCAAGTAGCTCATTGTTCATTATCTCATAAGCTGAATGTCATGTGGATTTTTTTTGAAACAATACTTACCAGATCCAGTAGACCTATGCACAAAGAGAGTAGTATTTTCTGTATTAGTTCTTGAAATCTGAGCACCAGAGTGCTTGGAGGTGTTTCCCTCCAGACCAGACTTCACTCAAAGACTAGTCAAATGACATCATCTCATATTTTAATTACCACCAAAAATCCTTGAAATCCATGCATATCATCTGCATCAATCACATTTCCCTTTTCTATTTATATTATTATTATTTTCTCATTTTCCTTCTTTCCTGACAGGGAGCTCTAAAGCTTACATCATATAAACATGTAAACTGATTTTATCATCTTCATCATTCACATTATCTTAATAAGTCATACTTCTCCTCTGCCTGACAATGACAAAGCTAAAACATCATTAACCCAATTTATATCATTCTGTCTTATCAGGATGTTTCTATCTTTTCTTGGAAGCTGTTAATCAAACCAAAATTCAGCACTTCCCTCCTTCTCAACATAAATCTCCAACAGAACCTGTGCCTCCCTTCCTTTCATTTTTTCCAAAAATCAAAAAACTATCTTGCTCTCTTCTCACTGTAGGTTCAGAACTAATTTTTTGCTATAAATTTTCCTCTCATTTTCCATCAGGATATTCACAATCATATTCTACTTTTTTTTATTTAATTTTCTCTTTGTGTCCTGTCTTGTGTTGTACTGTTTCTGCATTCTCTCTTATCATTTGCCTTTGGGTTAGATTGATTTCTTTTTCTTTTTCATCATATATTTCTTATTCATTTGACTTATCATAAATAGCCCGGTTCACATTTCACACTTTCCACTGCTAACTTTTAATAAACTTTCTGCTTGCTGATTTCAAAACTCTGTCCAAACTTGCACTGGCAGCAGGCTAATTTTAAGCCTGAGATCTCAATTCCCTCTGCTAACTTCAAATAAAAAAATTGCTAAAAAATTTGAAATGTGAACCGTCCTAATACATCCTTCAGTTTGTTTATTAACATTAGTTGCAATGTGATAGGATATCCAGACCATCAAAACAGAGAGGATGACTGATTCTTTTTGGTTTTCTATATGATTTTACACTATCAACCTGAATTGTGAACTCGTTAGCTTTCAATAATTCTCTTTTTAAAGAGGAACCAATTGCAAAGGAATTAGTAATATATTCCAAAGCACCTGTGTTTCCCTCTTGTGTTGCATGTATGATTAATATTTTGCATGCTAATCTAGAGATGGCACTTGACACTTGTTGGGGGGGGGGCTGCCACACTTTCACAACATACTCTCCACAGCACCAGCCACCAGTTATGTAGCTAGAGGGTTCAGTAATGATATAGAATCTGTACTGGACACTCTGCCTGCATTTCTGGTGGCTGGCAGTGTGGAGGGCCTGTTTTGAAAGTGTGACAGGTACCTGACAGAATTTGGAAACTAAAGATTCCATTTTCCTGATGGTAAAACATTTATAAATAAAAATACAATTTGATAATTTTATAAATATAAATGTAAATATAACTAAAAATAAAAGAAACATAAGAGATATGTTATTACCCAAAGGCAGAATAAAAGTCTGCAAGGATAACAATATACATTTGAGAATAAAAATGAGAAAATGTTGAAAATTCACTTGATCACTCTCTTTTCTTTTTACATATTTTCTTATTCATTATTGCTGTTCTTTCTTTATTCAAAATGCTGCTCCCACATCTTGACCATATTGTATCTAGACTACTTAAATCATCTAGATGCGAAGAAATTACACTTATTGGTTCTTTATTATTTTTTTGACCGTTCCTGAAGGAAGCACTTTAGCCCTTCCCTCAGTCTATCTGTGAGCACTTGAGCCCTCTCAGTTGGAACATAAAAATTATTTTATTTGGCTATTAGCCCATTTTTTCAACAGAAAAGTTTGTTGAGTTAAAGTGGTAATAAGCTAAGTGCCAAAAGACAAACTTGATCAGTTTTTCAATCTATTTTACATTTCTTTTCTGAAGATAAATCTTCATTACAAAAATCAGTAGATCTAGTAAAGCTAATGCTGCACCAATTGACTTGTTTAATACTTCTAAATATTATACAAAACATGAAATATTAATAAATATTTTATTCTTGATTTTCTCTTTCCTTACTCCTAAGGAAAAGCTCTTACTCACCACTAGTAGGTGGAAAGATACAATCAATAAGTTTGGTATGATTCAAAGAGATCTGTTCTGAACTGAAGATGATTTTTGAAGAGAAGAAGATTGAGTTGTTAACAATCATGTCTATTACTATCCACTCAAAGACAAGTGGCATAGTATCTATAACCCAACAAAGGGATATGACCTTGTAAGTTCTTTTTCCTCTGTGCTTTTTTGCATATTCTAAATAACTAATGCTTTATTTTTTCTTTCCTAGTCTTTGATTCCCAACACAACCCACATCCTTTCATATGTGTTGCATGGAACATTAACAATCTGGCACATTCTTTGCCTTTCTTTTTATCCAAATTTGCCTTTGATTGTTAGTCTTATTTATTTTTTGTTTTCCTCCTCTATTTTGGGGAGCTCCTTCCTTGACAATTCTCCTCCAGCATCAATGTTAATCACAAAGGAGTTCAGTACCACCTTCTTCTTGACAAGAACTCCTTGCCAACCACTGTCTGCTTCTACAATGAAGAAGATGTAATGAAGATATTCAAAGGGATTGCTCCATAGTTTGTCCACATATTTTCTGATCCCACTACCCTTCCTGAGTCTGACTGCCATGTCTTTTTCTTTGAAAATATGCAATGGCACTTTAGAAGCAAGAAGATCAATTTATATGTGATCTCATGAATTCTGACTTCCACCTTCTCATCCTCCTGAAAACCCCCGCCCCCCCCCCCAACAAAAAATTAACACTAAAAAAATGAAAACCCCCCAAAAAAATTGTAAAACTCAACTGCTGTTTGCCTCTACACTGAAGAAGACGTAATTGAAGAAATCCAAAGGGATGCACCAGAGTTTGTCCACATGTGTTCTGATTATCCTCCCACTGCCCTTCCTGAGTCTGACTGCCATGTCATCTTCTTTGAAAATATACAATGGCATTTTAGAAACAAGAAGATCCACTTATATGTGTACTTGTGCATTCTGACTCTCACCTTCTCTGCATCCTCCTCAAACCCCCCCAAAAAATATATAATTAGGTAAAGAAAACTGAAAAAAATTGTAAAACTTGACCGCTGTCTGCCTCTACACTGAAGAAGATGTAATGAAGATATACAAAGGGATTGCAGCAGAATTTGTCCACATGTGCTCTGATTATCCTCCCACTACCCTTCCTGAGTCTGATCGCCAAATTATTTTCTTTGAAAATATGCAATGGCACTTTAGAAACAAAAAGATCCGCCTAAATATATGTGTACTCGTGAATTCTGACTGTCACCTTCTCTGCATCCTCCTCAAAATCCTCCAAAAAATATGAGAAACCCCAGAAAATATTGTAAAACTCGTCCACTGTCTGCCTCTACACTGAAGAAGATGTAATGAGATTGGATTGCACCAGAATTTGGTGTTCTGACTATAGATTTTTGTGACATAGTTGTCCGCACTCTTCATCTCTCCGTGTCAATATAAACACATTTCACGAGAAGAATAAATCTCAGTTCAAAAGAAAAATCAAGGAGCACTTGACGTGTGATGGACCCCTTTACTTTGCTTTGGATATGTCCAACTCGAGTCCATAAAACTCGATAACCTCTTAGAGAAATAAAGAGAGAATCATGAAACAATCTTAAGCAGTTCCTCTATACCATGTGGCTTTGAACTCGGATACTGCTATCTAGCCAAATCAAGCCGAGTGGCATTTAATAATTTCTCATGATTAGGATTCTTATATGTCTCATCCAGCAGATCTTCCTGCAATCGCACTTCAATGTCATCGACTCATTAAGAGATCTCAAACTCATCTCAAGAAGCTTTTGTTCAATTTTTCGATCGAGTCTGCCGACTCGGAATGACGAGAAGGCATACTCAATGGATTTTAAGATGGTATATATATATTTTGATTGATGATTGGTATACAGTATGAATGACAACATATGAAGTATACATTCCAACGTCAAGACGAACTTGGTTGATAAAATGAATAAAACTTAATAAGAGCAACACGAAAAAAGAGGAGGTTACCACGAAAGTCGAAAGGAATACCCAAGAAACCCAAAGAAAAGAAAGAAATTATCACGATCTATGAAGATGAACTAGGAGAATGAGGATAATTACGATTGTTCCGGAGCATCTTCGAATTGACCAGAAAGAGTAGACTGTGCTGGTTCTTTCGAGAAAGAAGAGCAGATAGACGGGTGAGAGGAGGAAGGACGGTCGAGGATCGAGTCGGAAGAGCTAGAAGAAAGAATAGTAATAGAGGTGGGAAGAGGCTTAGGGCAAAAGCCCAGGAAAGGATTGTGAGGAAGGTCCGAAGTTTGGACGACTGGAGAAACCAAAGGAGAAATTACCGGACTCGTCCAGCTGCCAGGAGATGATGACTTGGAGCTCGATCTGGATGAGGGCACGGTGGGCGGAGAGATGTAGTTGATGAAAGAATTTTTGAACGATTTGGATGTTGAGGAGATCCTCATGCATGGGTTCAGCGGGTTGACCCAGTGGTACATCATCGGCTTGGTGGAGGAAGATGCCGGTTCAGCTGCAGTATTGATGGTGGGGTTGATGGGAGTGCTCAAGGAGGTTGTTGATGATGATCGACTCCTCGAGTTTTGTGAGTCGGCCGGCCGACTGGTGCAAGTGGGGTTGGCTGTGGATGAAGTGACAGATGGGGGGCTGGAGGCGAAGAGGGCAGGGTCAAACAATGAGTTGGGTGGGATTGGGGAACTGGAGGAAGAGGCTAGCAAATCGGTTGAGCGATCATTGCAAGTGGGGTTGGAAAGGGCGAGAAGGGCTGGTGAGATGTGAGAAATGACAGGGCTAGGGGATGATTCCGATGGTGCTGATCGGCCAGAAGAGCAATCCAACGAGATCGACGGGCGACCACTGTCAGTGGAGGTAAGAGGGGTTGGAGGTGCTGGCGGGAGCTCGAGAGTTGAAATGGCAGGCTGCGCGAAGAGCTTGAAGATGATGCGCGAGCCGAAGAAGTGTCGCGCGAGGCCGATCGAACAGAGGAGCCAGCGACCGAAGTGGGTGCGGTGGAGGCGGTTCGCGACGAGGAATCACTAGTGGAAGCCGAGCTGTTAGCGGTGGGCGAAGAGGAAGTTGTGGAACTCGAACCGGCAGTTTTAGCAGAGAGGGTAGGCAATCGTTGCTTGGACGAATCCAAGACGCGCGCGGCGCCTTGCCGGAAGGAGCTAAGGGCACTGCTGAGAACCTCCTTGATCCATGGCTTGACAGGTTTCCGGTGCAATGGGCCTTGCCTTCCTTCGTAGTCGCAAACCACCGGAAGATCTTGTCTAGAAGCTGGTAAGTTTCGTGCTCGGCTACTAGTTTCTTGAATTCCTCGGGTGCTTTCAGACGTTTGAGTGACTGATATTCATCAATGAGTAGTTGTAATTTTTCTTGGTCTTTGTCGACATGGGTTTTCAGCGCGTATAATTTCGACCAACCCGATCGGCTACGAGCGTTGCGGAACCAAGAGTTGACTTTCGTTTCAGTCGAGGACGTTTGAGAGGCCAACTCTTGAAGTTGAGGCTGTGTCGGAAAAAGGTAAGTCATATGGCTGCAAGTTATTAAAGGGGTGAACAGATCAGCTTGCTGCCTCGGAATACTCAATTGGGGTGGTAATAAATACTAACGCTTGACTCCAGTTCTTGAGGATTGTGTGAGAAGGTGAAGAACAACTGTTATCTTGGGCGACGGGTTCTTTTGATGGCGGGGGTGCTGGTGCTGACGGCTTGTTGGACGTTAGTGGGGCCAGCAAGTTCAATTTCCGAGAGAAGCTGTCATGTAATTCATCCATCACGAGATGAGCTTGTTGCGCCTGCGTGGATGCGATGTACAGATTGTGACTGAAGCAGTAATGAGCTTTCAGTTCGTCTACAGAGAGCGAGTTTGTCGGGATGGCCTTTTCGACGTCAAGCACAAGCTGAGAGAATTGGCTGTCAAAGTTGACGAGGCCGTCAGTATTGTTGCTCTTCAAAGCAGCCAATAGATCACCCTGCAAGTTGGTAAGTTCATGGTGGCTAAAGGTGGGAATTGACATGATCAATAGGATGCAGTGGGATTATTGGGTTGTGCGTAGGGTGACGGAAGAGGGTGCCCGGGGAGTGGTGGTGGTTGGGTCTGAGGCTGGCAACAAGCCAGATGAGATGCGATGGTTGAAGGCAATCCAGGAAGTGCCCCATGTTAACACTTTTATATTGCGTGTCTGGATGTGGGATAGAGTCTTGTGCCGTTACGAAAGGGAGTGTTTCCCTTTTGTGAGGGAGTGATTGATATGCAAAATGACATATGTAAACTGAGTGGAATGCTTTGTTATGCAATATCAACCCCCGCGCATACACCCCGCACATGAATACAAACGATTCCCTTTCAAAACTATTTCTCAAAAGGATTACAACACCACCCAAAGGAACTCGGCTTATCCTGTACATGTACACCACACATAAAACATGCCCACCTCAAGTGCCTCATGCAATCTGGCCTCACACTCCACAACCCATCCTCAGCTCACCACCCTAGCTAACAGCCTAATTGTCTTGCCTACCTGAGCGACCCCAGCTAACTACACAACAGTATCAGTGAATCATGGTTACTGCATGGTGGAACGCCACTTGTGCTCCAGCCATGAAAATTCGCAACTTGGCCCTGAAAATCCTGCCAGCCTCATTGCTGGACTCGTTCATCAATCAGAAAAACGTCGATCCCATTCCCCCACTTCGATTCCCCGAAGTTGATGACCTAGTGCCACAACTTCTCCAATTAGGTCTCACGCCAGATTACGCCCAGCTCCTTCAACACGAGTTCGCTAGCACCGTCAAAAGAGTGGACGAATCCCTGTCCGATTCCTATCAAACTGACGCCCTCAAGTTTCTTCCCAACGTCGACCCCAACCCGCGATGTTCTTTTGTCCAAGCGTTACAAGATCAGCTTCTTGCAGTTCGTGCCCAAGCCGTCCAAAGAATCTTGACCATCCTACAATCTAGACTCGACTCCTTTGTCCAACAATCCAAAGCTGCCCAATCAACATCCGAACCTTCTCCCTCATCACCATCCGCCTCCACTTCCTGTGACTCCCCATCCTCATCCGACCCCTCCGCCCACTCAGGGAAAGCCGGCATCCGCCCCCCAAAATTCACCCACAAACAAACCGTCGTCCTGAATGCCCTACTAGCCCGCGACAACCAATATTCGACCGAAGAAAAAGACCTCATTGCCCATGAACTTGACATGACTCCCGACCAAGTTAACCGATGGGTAAGTCTTCATTCCTCGTCCATAGTTATCGCCAAGACCGACACTAGCATTCTTCCTCTGACATTATTATGTGTCTTTGTTCGATCAGTTCTGTAATGCCCGTGCACGCAAGAAACCATACTCTTGTCCATCCCGTCGGCCCGGCCCCACAGGCCTCCTCCAAAGCTTGTCGCCCGGCTCCTCGACACGCGACTCTAATATGTCCCCCTCACCTGACCCAGAACCCGTAAGTTTCTTTTCCAACCCAAACCAATCAAGCCCTTATATTCGGAGAGGAACAGATACTAATTAATTAATTGTTTGTTATAGACACAAAACTTTTCTGGAGAAGAAGAAAAGACCCTCGACGAGATCGTAGTAGGACGAAGACACAGAGATGACCATCATTGCCACCCCCTCCTCCTCGTCATCGTCTTCATCATCATCGTCGAGATCAGACCAGGACCAAGACGAGCCGATGGACGCGTACTTTGACTTCCCGGCATACCAGTCGCCGGCTCAATCATGGCCGGCCCAATCACCCCCATCCACACTTACTTCGGTCCCGGCCATCCCATTCGACTTCGACTCGCTCAACCATTCTTCTGCTTCTTGTGCTTCGTCTGGAGACCCGGGACTCTGGAATACCTCTCTCCCCCAGCCGGTCCCGTTCAACTTCCAGCCTTTCGCGTGTTAATCTTCTACCCCGCCTCTCTCGCTTCTTGATTCTTGGGTCTCTTGTGGTAACTTCGGAGAAGTTATTGTATCATCATCATCTAAAATCCCTCCCATCCCATCCCATTGCTTGCTTAAATTACTCCTCTTTCCATAATTTTCTTGTATGATCCGGGATACTCTCTTCTTAGAATTATCTAGATACCCATGCCTCTTCGTTCTCCATGACGCACTGTATAACTGTGTATACCAATCCATACTCCACCCAAAATGTAGTAGTTATTTTTTATATCTCAAAGTCCTTACGACGTCCTTTTCTCATCATGTCTTAACGATCAAAAAATGGTGACCATCGCATCACCTCCATCCACAGTGTTATGTATTTACTTCGTTCGTCTTGTTCTTGTTCTAATTAAAATTTGTCTTTTTTGTTCTTGACTATATATGTGTAGTCGCTAGTTTAGCTCCAAGACAATCCCACTCGTTTCACATTTTTTTTGCATACACCAATCGGTGTTGTGAGTTATTCAGGTCTCACTTGAGATCATTCTTGACCGTCGAATGCGGAGAGAGTTTTTGTGTTTCTCGGGCTTTTTTTTGCGCCTCCAGGTTTCGCAGTCTTTTGGAATCAACCTGGAGAGGCAAGCATGTGTGTGTGCACCGGTGCAAGAGTGTTTCAAATGAGACGATCAAGAACGATCCTTGAATCGACCGTTGTCCAAAGATGACCGCTTGGCTCAATGTGCTCCCGAAAGAGTGTGAATGGTGGTGTTACAAGCGTTAATGATGACATCATGTGTCTGGATATGCTTATGTCGGAGTTCCTTTTGGTGGCCAAACAGCATTGCATAAATACATATCCATATATATCCAACTTGGCCGTTGCCAAGGCAACGCCCAAAGTGCGGGGGGAGGAGGGAAGCCGAAGCGACCAAAGTGCGGGGAAGGAGGAGCGAGCGCGGGTGCAAAGAGAGAGCGCCACTGCCCGCACCCGACAGTGCGGGGTTGTTTGTTTGTATGCAGTATGCATATAGATCGTCCTATTTGCATTTCCCTTTGCGATTCAAAAAGGGCAAATTTTATCGATATGTATCTGTTTGCGCAAGCCCCCGCTCGCGCTCCGTAGGAGGAGGCGCGGGGCCGGGGAAAGCTCGGGGCTTGCAGCGATGGCCGCCGCCAAACAACCAACTGGTCGCGCGAGCGCACCTACCGATAAAGGATCACCTGCTTTTTTCCATTGCCCATCACCAATCTATGAACACCACACAACATCAGGAAAAAAAGGATGGGTCAATGTCATGGGTAGCAACTGTTTACTGTAAAAAAAACTTGGCAACCCAGAGGAACAGTACCCTTGTCTATGTACTCTGATCTTGTTGGGGGCTTGCAAAAAAGGGACAAGAAAGAGGAAGAAAAAAAAAGAAAAGGCTTTGTTTTGATCGGTGTATGTGTGTGTGTGTTTTCTCTTGGGCCCACGATACATTTGTGTACCCGTTGAGGATGGTTCTATTGCAATGGCCTCTTTGGAGGAGTTGGAGCAGGGAAAGCAAGTGGCCCTTCTTTGTTTCACAGTCATGGCTGTGATATTAGCATTGTATTGCAAAAAAAAATGTGTCTGGAGGTAAGAAAGGTAAATAGATCACTCCTTTTTCATCAAACCATTACGATAACTCACGAGATGATTGTCCTCAAGGAAAAAAAAAACTTTTATTGTGATGTCATGGAAGCTTCCGCCAGGGAGATATTGATGTAGGCTCCATGATCACATAAAAAAGGCTCTGGCAAAGATGATTTTGTGTGCGAAAGAAGCCAGGATTAGGCTGTGTGTTTTGCTCAAGCCGTTCGGCGAGAGCGTCCTGATTGATCAGTGTAGCGACAATCACTCTTCATCATCATCATCATCCAGGGAAGCAGCCGGCCCCTACACAACGAATAACGATCCATTTCTCACTCCGATATACACCCTAATTGGCTTGCAGGCTCTGTTTTTTTTTTCTCAGAGCTTGATTCAGGTCAGATGAACGACCACCGATGCGGCTTCATCCGAAACCTGTGTTGCTTCTTATGAAGCAGAGGTATTTCAATAGTTCAAGCCGTGCCCAACAGTGTAAGCCATGCAGTGTGATCAACCCAGTTGAAATGATCGTTTGTGGGGTTAATGTGTTGGGTGAACACGAACGATCATCACTGATCGCTGTCCTTTTTCTCTTCAACCAATTGGATTCGGTGGGTAGCACTTGGAGGGAAGACATGCTGTCTTCCTCTCATAATCGCACCGGAATCTTCAGTACCGTAAGCCTTCCTCAACAGTCTTGGACCGATATCATCCGTAGATCGTTACAGACATGCTCTATTTTTTTGCTGTGTTTCTTGCAGTCATAAGGATGAGGAGGACATCTGACCGGTTGCTTTTCTTTGGTGCTCCCTTTATCCTCATCCAGTTGATTGACTGGATCCGGCTGTTTTACAACCAATCATTCTTCGAGGGACATCATCCTTTTGGAATCTCGTTCCTTTTTATTCTCCTGTGGTCTACTACTATCACGTTCCCCTTTTGTCACCAAGCAAGACGAATCATCTCCGAGGTCTCAGAGTTCTTCCAAGAGCGTCAAGCCCCCCTCAAAAAAAATGTCCACGTCGTAAAGGGATAGATGAGATTTTGTCATCTGATACCAACTTACCAAACAGCCTGGCCGTCCACTCCCGCCCCAGAACCCCTTATCACAGGGTAGACACTCAGATTTACTTGTCGTAAGGCTTGAAAACATCAAGACAGTCATGGGACATGTACTGTAATGGTTACACTACTGTGGTGAATATGTCTGCGAATGAAAGAAAAATCTTTCTCTTCTGCATGTAGATATAGATTTTTTGAGCTCCATAATTATTGTTCAATTAGATTTCTAAATCAAGAGCCACTGTAAACAAATAATGATAGCCAGTTTGATCTTCTATCAACAACATTTGTACTGGCCCTTTTGGGTTTAGAATTAAAGAAATACCTGACAAAATGACACTCAGAAGATCAAGATCCCACAACACTATGTACCAGGAAATTTGCCAATTTTTAGTCTCGAATAAAGATCTTTCAGAGGTGAGATAACACTTGCTAGAATAATTGAAAGAGTGGAGCAAGAATTCCAAGAGTTTAAGAATCTGAATGTAGGGAAAATCAAAAGGGATGGATATCCACAGGAGAACTTTTTTCATGAGTAAAAAAATACAATGAAGCAACATAGAAAGCTCTCTTCAAAAGAATACATCTATTTACAGACAAACATAAATGATGGAAAATATAATCAACAGAAGTGATGAGAAGATAGAATCCTTGCTACATAATCCAGGCTTTGTTCATGATTTTTTGACGGCCTCTTTGTCCTGACAATCATCACCAGTGATTATTACATAGCCGTATTCATCCTTTTTCTGTGTCATTAAATTTTTTCACAATCAACAAATCAAATCAACTTAAATCAATCCAAAAAAAAGGGGGGGGGGGGGTAGACTAGAAATATCTATGACTCACTTGTTTCCAATCAGCTCTGCAACACTTCTTTGATTGATCATTCTTCCCATTACAATTATAGTTGTAGTGCTCTTTAGCCCCCACTTGATTTGCCTTAGTTACTGCTCCCAATCACATTGTTTAAGAAAATTTTCAGAGACATTGTCTTGGTAGTGTACATCTTGGAGAAGACAAACTTACCAGAATAAGATCCGATTCTAGAGATAATTTTACCTTCCTTGACGCCATGCAGTGTGGCACACCACCCGATGTTGAATCCTTTCTTGGCATCGAAACAAGTGAACATAGTTCCTGGATCTATGATGGGGACAGCTGGAGAGGAGGCGGCCAAAACTAGAAGCGGGGTTGCAAAGGAGACAAAAAACCCTATTTGAGGAGCTGCATTGCTTTAGAATGACCAATAAACTAATGGAGGACTTCCCATCGGATCTGGGACCCTAGCAGAAGTTGATCTAGACCTGAAAAATCTTAATTCTCACAGAGAAATTTGAATTTTGAGGCTCTGAACCGACTCTTGGAGACCCACAGATGTTGACAGGAAGTCATCCAATCGGGTTATGGAACGTTTTGTGGACTGCTGCTCTAGTATAAATGTGGTAAAGCTTTTGAAGTATTTGATATAAAATCTTTAGGAACCTGTAAAGAAATCCCCAAGGGTCAGAAAAGGCACGTTTGGAACAAATGTGTTATGTGTAAGTAGTGTGATCACATATTCCATTGGGAATCAGAGGCTTATAGGCACCAAAAGTGTCATGAATAGCCAACCACATTAAATGACATGTCAGCTCAAGGCTGGGGATTTAAGAGCAATCAACTTGATGACCATTGTTGCTACTGAGAAACAGGTGCCGGTGAACTTGTCCAGGGCAAGATTGGTCTTGATGCTGGCCGCAATGTCGGGGGTTGATAAGTGCACGCCAACCCCCATGGCGCACGCCAATCTGCTGCAGGGTAGATTGGCCTGCAGTTGGCGTGCAGGCCTGCACGCCAAACTGGGTCCTAAACCCATATGTATATGGGTTTAGGACTGGGGCTATCCCATAGGACCCAGGCCTGGGTCCTAGGGGATAGCCCAGAGTGTTTTTTTTTTTCAAGAAAAAAAATAACAAGGCTTGTTGGGAGGGGTTCCTCCTGGCGAGCTATTATAATCACTCAATCCCAACGTCTGGTGTCACAGGTAGATGCCCATATTTGCTTGCAGAGCCTAAGACTCACAACCATCAGGCCCAGCATGAGATGATCTGTGTGGTGTCTTCTTCAAGTACCAACACCATCACTATCCTAGCTCCTAAGCATTATGACCCAACCTGAATATCCCACATATTCAGAAAAAAGATTTGCTTGGGTCCAAAGGCAACAAGCTGAAATGAAAGTGGTGAGATAGAATTCCACTCTCATATTAGTATTAACCCAAACAGGACTCCAACATTAGAGATGGTCAATGGATATCCGCTATCCGCTGGCGGATACCCGCCAGGATGCACCCTTCCCCCTGAAATACTGGCGGGTATCCG